AATTGACAGCGCTGAAAATAAAAGCTAATTTGAAACGAAACGAGTGTTTGATCTCGGTTTTATAAATGAAATTCTATTGGTTTCGAAGATCGCAATTCGGCTATAATATTTTAGAGTAATTTGCTATTAGTCATTCATTAATGTAAAATAATTTAGTGATAAATAAAGTGCATGCTCGTTAATTACTTAAAAACCTTTAAGAGCTGGACACAGTTTACTAAAGATTAAATTTCTCGTTACTTTATATTCAAAATCATCTATAAACTAAGCGACATTTTGAAAATGTAGACCTACGAGTGGTCTAGAAAAGCCAGTAGCCTAGACTTTGTTCTGAATATTCTTTACAAGCGTAGACAGGACCACCCAAATTGTTTACAAAGTGTACAATAAATGTACAAAGAAACAAAGAAAGAAGGTGATTTAGGGCAGATTTACCACCAAGGGAGTCTAAGCCTCCGGATGATGCAGGAGCACAAGGTCACGGCTATTTCGGTTGTTACCTACACCGAGTCGCCGGTAGGAAGCCGACGATGGCCAGATCCATCGATATGCCGGGGGGAGGGGGCTTCCTCGTTAAACAAATTGGTTCGGAAACGTCACTGCCGACTATCCTGGCGCGATGCTCGTTAGTAACGTGAACTGAAAGACGATGCTCGCCTTCTACAAGTCCACCATCTCGCTGGAGGACACGGCTGATCGTAAGAGAGAGAGTTTTTTTAGCGCCGCATCACAATGTAAATAAAAAGTAAATGCCCTGAGATAACAGGGCAAAGTCTCAAATATATTATATAACGGCTACTCCGACACTCAAACCGAAAAGCGTGACTGCTTGCGGTAAAATTACGCACGACCGTGGTATCTTCCATGAAGTTTTACAATATACCCAGAAAATTCATTGATTTCAAATTTGTTTCAGTAGTATACTAAAGTTACAATTATGTTATGGTAATATAAATATAGAGATAAACTCAATTTAAGACAAACTCAATCAAGATAATAAAATCAATTTTTAATTAAATTCCATTTCTCACTAAAGAGCTTCCGTTCTTTTTTTTAATTTTATTCCGTCGCCTCTTAAGAAGAGAGAATTCAAAGAATAAAATGAAAGACAGCTACATTTTGGGACAAAAAAATTAAAACGTCTTTGAGGGAACTCGTATAAATGAATCCTTCGGGAGATTGCTTCCGGGAACACGTCGCCGACCTCGTTGGCACACCGCGGCTTTAAGCCCTGATATTTATATGCAGATCACTTGAATACGCCAGTGACTTCAGCAAAATACAGTTCCGTGATTAGTTTTCTTTTTTTTTTCAATTGCTTACATCAGTGATTCTCAATCTTTTTTTTGTTGCGGCACATATTTAACGATTTCAATATTTGGCGGCACACAAAAAAAGAAGATAAAAATTATTTACTTACTACAACACACTGCATAAATTTTAATAGTTTATCAAAAAATTTTAATATACGAAATAAACTAAAATATAGTATAATTTTTTTTTTATGGATTTAAATATTCATGTTTAAAATATTTTTCTTTTAAAATGATATAATTTAATAATATTAACATTACTATATATTCGCAAAATTTGGCGGCACACTTTTGAAATTTGGCGGCACACAAAAGTGCCGCGGAACAGTGGTTGAGAATCACTGGATTACATTATCAATTTTTAATTTAAAGGCATTAAACGTATCACCAAATATTGCTTATATTTAAATACGATACTGGTATTGTGGTGTGAGTTCGTACGGGCACAACCATTCTACTTCTAGCGCGAAACAGTAATGCATTCTGGTACGAAGACGGGACAGCCGCTACACAACATAATTGACTCACTTTGGCCTTAAAGCGGGTGACGTCATTCCCTTAGTGATGTTCGATGAACTTTGAATACCACTGAACACCAAATGTGTAATATCTGAACTTTTGAACTACATATGTAGCTTACTGACTAAGATATTTTCTCGTGGGCTTTAGCAAGATCTTAATGCTACGAGCTACGTACTACGACTTTGCTACGAGGTATTCGCTCCCGATAAACATACACATGTACGAGGTAGGTACATATATTTTCACATTCACATTTAACTTTCTATCATTACGATGAAACAATGTTATTGAATACGCTAAAATCATGCATATCCAAATATTTACTACTGTCGGTGATTAGCGAAGTATTCGTAAAATTTAGTACAATTTGAAGAAATCCCTTTGATAATTAAAGAACTACAATGACTACTCCAGTGCGGGTCCTCATTCAAAGACGCCTGACATATCAAAGTGATTTTCGTAAATCGATCGTCGAACTTTCTGACTTATTACATGCTGGGTTGCCCTAATTCAAATATTTTTGGTATCGTCAATAAAATTCTAGTAAAACCAAAACAAACATGACAAAATACAATCTGGTGTGGTCTACATATTAGTGGCGAGGAAATTGTGTTGCACGGTCTCCTTCCTTCGGCATCGGGACGTGCGCCTCTGACCGTACCAAAACGAGTCTTGAATTATAATGAGGCGCTTAAAGATCGCACCAGACTTGTGCACTGAGAATGAACATTCAAATAGAGACATTTACGACCTCCAGACGTAGTTGTCGTGCGATAACCAGCTTTGCTAAATTACGTGCGGATTAAAATATGCAATTTAACAAAGTAAATGTCTTATCTAATATGGCCAGGGTATTTGACGAAATAAATAATGACCTCGCCTTCCTCTAACTAGTACATCTACCTAATTATCTCCTTTTTACCCTGTTATCTTCATTTTAGTATCGCAAAAGGAGGAATTCATTCTTATTTCCTTGAATCTTTACACTCATTCAGACTGTGTTTCCAGAGATAGTTATTGTCAAGTACCACCGCGTTCTAAAATGCCTAACTTTCCTGAATAGCTTTTATCGAGCACAACGAGATGTTCTTTATTACAGAATGTTTCAAAAGAGTTCGCGACGATAATAAGCGGCTTGGCTGTCAGTAGTTCGGTTGTCCCCAGTATTATTGAACTCCATGAGCGATGATGACTCCTTAGTATGAGGCAAAAGAGTTCTCGACTATAATAAGCGACTTGGCTGTCAGTAGTTCAGTAGTTTGGTTCTCCCCGGCATTATTGAAGTCCATGTTGATGACTCCTATGATGAGGTCGGCTATGATAAACAATCCTGTCTCCGACGGCAATAATTGTCACAAATTAATATATTTTGTAAGCTTCATCTTCAGTACAGGATTTTTTTTATTGCATAGTTCGGTAGACGAGCTCACAGCCCATAGACATCTACAACGTAAATGCCGCCACCCACCTTGAGATATGAGTACTAAGGTGTCAGTATAATTACAACGGTTGCCCCACACTTCAAACCGAAACGCCTCACTGCTTTACGGGAGAAATAGGCAGGGTGATGGTACCTACCCATGCGGATAGACAAGAGGTCCTACCACCAGTAATTACGCGAATTATAATTTTGCGGGTTTGATTTTTATTATAAGATATAATTCCTTTACCGTGGAAGTCAATCGTGAAAATTTGTTAAGTACGTATTTCATTAGAATTGGTACCCACCTGCGGGATTCGAACACCGGTGCATCGCTCAACACGAATTCACCTTAACAACTTTAGGCCACGACGACTTCGAAATCGATGGGATGTCATTCCTTCATCGTAGGTATTTATCTAGTAAAACTGTTACTTGTCTAAGGAGCTATTTAATCCCGATACGTTCGCATCACTCGATATATTATTATAGCATTACTGACGACCATGGGCGAGGGTGATCACTTACCATAAGGTGATCCGTATGACCATCTGCCTACAAGGTTAATCGGAGCCCATAGCCATCAACAATCTAAATGATGCCATCTACCTTGAGACACGAGTTCTAAGTCTCAATTCTATAGTACAACAGCTGCCCCACCCTTCAAATTGAAACACATTAGGTACTGCTTCACGGCAGAAATAGGAAGTGTGGTGGTACCTACCCAGTGCGGACTCACAAGATGCCCGGCTACCAGTAAATGTCGTATGACGATGGCGAGTATTCCTTAATCGCAAAACAGTATGATTAATGTTATGATTATAGATAAAGTATACAAAAAAACAATAATTTCGGGGGTGCGTCAAACATGAAGATAGAACTGATAGTTGCGAATGTCATTTCGATTATATTACATTCTTTCAATTACAGTAATCAAGAATTATGTTTATTATTATCAAGAGATGAACAGTTTATTCGAAAATTCATACGATAAGGACTTATCGCAATGGTTGAACGTAATACACTCAACTTATCAATTTTAACTATCATAATTAATTGACTGTTACTACGATTAAGTCCTTAAAAATGATATTTCATAGTTGTGTCATAATCTGTTTTTACCTCATGTCTCTAAGTAGCGGAAATTACGCTGTAAAGCTCCGATAAATCTAGGTTGTTTGTTAGCCGGACCGCAAAATAAGAGCAATAATAAAGTTTATTTTATTTTATTTTTTTATTGCTTAGATTGCTTTAATATATTAAATAAAAAACCACCATTTCATTACAGCGACACGCGCGCCACTTATACTATGGTACTCATAAATATTATCCCAATAATTTTATATTACCTAACAACTTTGTAATTATTTCGTAACCACACAATAAGCAAACAGACCTATTAAAAAATGTCATTCCTATTCCCGATCCTAATTTTCCCCTAATCAAACTATTTGAAAATTGAATATGGTGTCTGTTCGGAGTACGGATGAATATCTCGAGTGACGATATACGTATAACAAAATAGGAGTTAGATTGAATTGAAGCTAATAAAAAGTTTGTGGTGTCATACAACTTGCCCCTGTTTGTTATAACTTCCTCTGTTCGCATCCGAGACAGTAAAATATGTATTGGAAACGATTATTTATTGTGTGGCGATTATTATTTTTAGGATCGTGCAGGATTAACAAGGTTAGAATTCGTAGACAAAATAAGCAAATTGAAGAATTATGCGGTAAATGGTTTATTAAAAATAACAAAATTATTTCATAAATGTAAAACTATTTAAGCGTCCTCGTTCATTGTTTTCATATAATAGATGACAGTGTCGTATAACAAAGTCCTAACGTCAATGGCCCACAAGAAATCTAAATGGTTGAATGTCGCCAAGGGCACCCGGAACATTCCTACTGGGTTTCCGAGCTCTCTATACAATATCTCAACATCCTCGATTTCGGCGAGAGGATCATTGTCGGAATAATGAAGGAACACGGGTGCGGTCACTTTCGATAAGTCATACTTTGGCGGAGTGCTAGTTCCATAGGCTCTTCTGTTTGCTAGTCTACTACCATGGTCGTAACGACGGAATTCCTTTCCGGCAATTCCTTGACCATAATGAGCCAACTGTCTTGCTGCAGCACCAGCGGGAGTGTGACCGAATTTCACGGGCAGTAAAGTCTGTAATGGAAGAGTAGCATTCAAAAAACACTGACCTAATACTTTTACAACTAACAAATAAACTGTTACAAATGCGAAACAAATATGGAAAATTATACAAAGATGTGATACTTAATTTATTTTAGTTTTACTTTCTTAACTTTAATTTCAGCACATTTCTTGCAATGAATTAATGCGAGAAATGATGAGAAACGATAATGATGAAAAAATATTAAGCATTCAAAAAACACTGACCTAATACTTTTACAACTAACAAATAAACTGTTACAAATGCGAAACAAATATGGAAAATTATACAAAGATGTGATACTTAATTTATTTTAGTTTTACTTTCTTAACTTTAATTTCAGCACATTTCTTGCAATGAATTAATGCGAGAAATTATGAGAAACGATAATGATGAAAAAATATTATACAAAAAGTTTCTGCACGATCGAATTAATTATTGAAGTGCAGATAACAATAAATCATGCATCAAAGTAATTTTAAATAATACACTTTAAATTTAACATACCGTGTTGAGCTGTTGTTCGTTCCATCCACCGATCAAGAAAAGAATGTTGCTGCATATAGGTTGAAACACAACTTCATCCTTACAAAAGGTTTGTCCTGCCCAAGTGAAAACCCTACTGTTCGGCAAGAACTCCCCAATTCCTATTAATGATGCTAAAGTCTAAAAGTTAAAATAGTGATTAGCCATGCCGAATCTTTCATTCATCGATAAGACAAAACAAGTTCTACTCACCACTAATTCATGGGCGAATGGTGCTATAGCTAGCAATAAAGGATTTTTGTTGTGACCCATGTACGCTACAGGTGCCAACGCTTGCATTGATATGATTTTCTGGTTATACTCCGGACGTAATGATGTCATCACAAAGAAGGCAGTTGATCCCTGAGAATGCCCAATATAATGCAATTTTTTTTGTCCACTTCTCCTCAGTGAAAAATCTATCATAGCGGGCAAATCTATGTTTCCTATCTCGTCCCAAGAAAATTTCCAAAATTGAGTACTAATGAAGCTATCTGGGTTTAAAGAAATGTGTCTTCGGGAATAATAATTGCCTCTAGCGTTACCCATCCAAACATCATATCCCTCTTCAGCTAGAATATAACCTGTAAGAATTTTTATAATGGTATTAAAAGTTCATAGAATACGAATCTATGTCTTCTAAGCCGTCATTTAGGTTTCTTTACCCAGTCCAAGTTTAGGGCCTGTCATCACCCAGTCAGCTGAGGAACAGAGCAGACCGTGCATCAGGAAAACGACAGGTTTTTTACTATTAGGTCTGTTGTTCGCATATCGTCCATGAGGGATACGATGCATTTCCAGGATATAACCATCTGGGGTGGACACGTGATGAACTTCTACGGGATAGCCATATTTCCTGATTAGGTCGGGCTGAAAGAATTTTTCAAGAGAATATGTTAGTGANCAGTCAGCTGAGGAACAGAGCAGACCGTGCATCAGGAAAACGACAGGTTTTTTACTATTAGGTCTGTTGTTCGCATATCGTCCATGAGGGATACGATGCATTTCCAGGATATAACCATCTGGGGTGGACACGTGATGAACTTCTACGGGATAGCCATATTTCCTGATTAGGTCGGGCTGAAAGAATTTTTCAAGAGAATATGTTAGTGAAAAAGGCATTTGTTTCGTCCAAGATAAAAAGTTTCTTAAGAGATACTAACCACATCCAATTCAGCATCTTCGATTACATTATTAGAATAACGGGCGCCTCTGTCGTTACCAAAAAGTCTTCTCACCACTTCAACGTTCGGAGACGATCGAGCGTCTCCGAAACTAAAACAGAACATACAAATTAAAAGTATGCCTTGAAATCGCATTCTCGCGAATACAATAATTCGAAACACTGTTCAGGATTCTATAAACTGTACCTCTTTTATAAATGCTGCTGACATGTTGATAACATCAAAACAAGATAGTAAAGTATTCAATCACATAATTTGTAATTACCACACGCACTTACTTTCATGAACGTAATCCTCCATAATCTTTGCGGCGAGTTAAAAAGTTAAAGACGATTCTAGAAATATTGGGATTTTATACACCTGCGCAAGAAAAACGCATTAAAACATATTCATACATGTTGCAAAAGCTTTATTTTTGGAAGGAACACGGTACCATACCAGTTCAAGTCCAGTAAAACAAATAATCCATTAAAACTGGTCAATATTTGCGTGGTTCGTTGAAAAGGACACATTCCTGTGGGCGATGTCATCGAAGTAGAGTTAACAGTCCACAGTAGCAAACTCATCCCCGTTCAATAAGTAAAGGAGGGAAATTCTAATTTTAGGGTGGGTAGGTCGAATGCTATCTCTCCCTGGATGATCGTGGAATAACTGTCAGCGTTATGTTTGAACAGGACCAGGCGATGATGAAATATGTGTTTAAAAATACGAAAGTCGCTGTTTATAGATAGGTATGTATATATTTTATAAGTACCGGTAAGCGCAGCGTTGGGCGTCCCCCTGCCCGTTGAACCGATGACTTGCGGCGATATGCTGGGAGAGATTGGATGCGGAAGGCGGAGGATCGTTCATTGTGGCGGACTATGGAGATGCCTAAATCCAACAGTGGATAGATACAGGCTGATGATGATGTATATATTTGACATATGAATTCTTATCCGATTTTTTCTCTACCTAAGCTGATAGACTTGAGAGGCTATTTCAGCGTGATCTTATCTAGTAGGTGAGCTCACAGGACCCAAAACCGGAGCGATGCTAAAACTCACCCTAGCAAGAGCAGTGCTTCGAATAATCTACCACCGGTTCGGAAACGTGACCCACTGAGAAGATCCGGCGAGAAACTCGGTGGGCTGTCTCTATGGGTTAATTCGCTCTTCGAGCCCTTCGTCGTAAGCGACGGGTTCGACGAGGACGGTTACCAGTGCTTGTGGTACCTAAAAGCACCGTTAAAGGATCGGGAGAATCCGTAACGTCGTGTTTTGGGCGACATCGACTGTTTACCGTTTGGTCTACAGGATCGGGTTTGTAGCTTCCAGCGGCCACGACAAGAGGGTTCTCATGTCGTGCCGCCTTCTCGAAGTGGCGCAATGATGCCGACTGGCTGAGTCAAGTTCCAGGTCATCATGGAATATCCGATGAACTACGATACACCACAGCATTATTGAGTCCATTATTGAGACCAAAAAAATTTTATCATGTGATTTCATGTCAAAAATGAAGTCTTTAGTGTCATGCGGAAGGTTCAATCTGGTTCGGTGGTTCATACTGGAGACAAGAACCAGGCATCCGATCCGACCGATCGACCTCATGTCAGTAGGTAATTATTATGAGCAATACGTTCACGTCTATGAGTTCACTGAATATCGGATGTTCGTCTTCCCGTGAACAGCAACAAAAAATGAAATAAATAAATAAACTGGTGTTAGGACGTCTTGTAAGTCCGCACAGGTAAGTAGCACCCGCCTATTTCTACAGTGAAGCAGTAATGCGTTTCGGTTTGAAGGGTGGGCCAGCTTCGTTACTGTAAAAAATGAGACCTTACAACTCATGTCTCATTTACGTTTTAGATGTCAATGGGCTCTGGATACCACTTAACACCACGTGGGCTGTGAGCTCGTCCACCCATATAAGCTATAAAAACAAAAAAGAAATGAAAATACTGAAGTCTGTTTCTATCTGTTTGTTTGTTTGTTAAATGAATGAATGATGAACAATGATGATTAATCATTAAAGTCATTCAATAGGAAAATAAAGAAGGTTCTATTGTATAGCATTCTACTCGTAGTTAGTTAGTTATACATATTCTACTATAGTAAAATTCCCGGTCACCGTCCTCGTCGAACCCGTCGCTTGCGACTAAGGGCTCGACGAGCGAATTAACCCATAGATACAGCCCACTGAGTTTCTCGCTAGATCTTCTCAGTGGGTCGCGTTTCCGATCCGGTGGTAGATTCTGCGAAGCACTGCTCTTGCTAGGGTCAGTGTTAGCAACACTCCGGTTTGAGCCCGTGAGCTCACCTACATACGTTAGGGTGAAGCTTAAATAGCCTCTCAAGACTATCAGCATAGGCAGGATAAAAAAAAAGAAACAAGTAAAATCAGATACCTTATCGGGATTTTTTTTTATTTCTTTTGCATTATTTGGACATTCAACCCCACCTGGTGTTGTGATTATTGAAACCCATAGACATCACAAAATGCCTACCACCAAAAATTATGTAAATTATAATTTTTACGGTTTTAGCTTATATTACACAATCTTATTCCTTCGTCGTGAAAGTCGTGAACATCTGCTAAGTACGTATTTCGTTAGGAAAATTGGTACTTGCCCGCAGGATTTGAGCACTAGCACAATCGCATCGCTCGACATGAATGCACCAGGTGTCTTGTCCTTTAGGCCATGACTACCTCAAGTTATATTTCTGTCTGTTTGAACATAACACACTGAAGCATGGTTTTGGTTGTAGATTATACTTGGTAATTGTAGATTTAAATATGTCTTATACTTGCAAAACTTATTCGAGACATTATCACTTATATCTAATTATAGGCATAATGTAAATAAATAAAAAACACTTCAAATATAGTTAATTTTTATTGAGAAGGTATTTAGCATAAAATAAAAAACATAATTTAGTTTTTTAGTATCCACTAGTTGAGTAGGCAGGTTGATAAAAAGGTTTGAACTGTAAAATATCATTTCATTTGACTGCGTTTACAAATATACTTTTCTATGTGCCTAAAATTGGAGCAGTTTTCAAAATCAGTTCAGTTTTAAACTTCAATGATATAACAAAAATAGCTACTGTATTAAAAAAGTAAGACTTTCCTTCAATATTAATTGACATGAATAATGATTAAGATGGTTAAGCTACATTTTAATGTGTTATTTATTGATACTTTAACCAAAAACATGAAGGATATTTATAATTATATTTAAACAGCTTATATAGAACTTACACTAACAGTCATTTACAAATCTTCATCATCCGAGTCCAATGCAGCCCTTCTTCTGTCAAACTTAACGGTGCTCTGAGATTTGGGCATTTGTTGATTAAAGGATTCCAAAATTTGTATTAAATCAGGTTCAGTTATTTTACATTGAATCTGACCCATTTGGGCCATTCGACAGATCATGTTTTCAATCATGGCAGCTTTCTCTGGTCTACCCAGTTTGATTGTGTTCACTGAAATTAAATGGATATGACCATGTATATGTGTCCTAAAATCAGTTTTTATAATATGTAAAAAGTTCAGTCAATGCATTTGTAGGCAAACAAACAGTATGATGCTACTCATCTTAATGTAAAAGACTACTAGCAATTGCCAAAGTGGAGCTATGAATATGTAAAGAGTTGGCAAGTACACCTTTGATTTGTAGAGAAATCTGTTTCGTATTAAAACCAGAAAGGGAATTTGTGTATTTTGTAATTAGTCTAGAGCAATTTTAAGGCAATTAATTCGTAGGTCGAATCTACCATGGTCACGCAGTTTTCACCAACCTAAAGCCAACATTATATTTTTGGTAAGGTTTTAATATTCATATATTTAACATTTAAAAAAGTTCTGTTTTTACCTAAATACTGCATTTATTTGAAGGATATTTTTGAAATCTGAATCTCAAATTTCTGATTATCTAAAAATCAAACGTTTTAAAACAAAAATAATGAAAAAAAATTACATCTGGCTCGGGCATCTTGGCTTAGCGCTTGACTCAATATAGTGTGTTTAGCTTGTTCCATTGCTTGCATTTTTTCTTGTTGTGCTTTGGCATTGCTCGGGTCACCTGTTCCCTGTAGTACATTATTTTTTCAAAGTGTTTAAGGTTTTTCCAAAAAAATCTAACCTCACTTTCCATGATTCATACTTACCCCTTGCTGCGCCTGTAATTGAGCTAGACGTTGCTGTCTAATTTGATCTAATTCCGGATCATCCATTTTAAAGCAATTTATCGTTTTCTCTGGGTCACAATTCACAACAAATCAGTTAATATTTTACGAAAGTTGTACTTAAGTACCTTGTAGGTATATGTGTATAATCTATGTATATAGCTGTTCATTTTTCATTAAGTTTGTTTGATTTGTCTTTGGACAGGCAAGGGGAATTAGCCAAAACTGCCACATTAAGTGATTATAAACTACAATAATTATGACATGCTTAAACCTGAGAAAGCACTAAATTAACAAATTGAAACAATTAACACAACTTAACAACTCGCATTCTCCGGAAATCATCAGATTTAGAGCCCAGATCTTAAGCGCCACTCATAAATGCGACCCACTCAGATCATTCATGACTTTCCTGAGAGCTAAAGCTGAGCTAAATCCAACATAAACTGGATTACCTACTCTCCTTGGAAGTAGTTGGAAGTGTTTTCTTAACCTTCATTAGGCAAAGAATGTGCTTTCTTAAGACTGAATATCTTTTGCTGCTTAAGGTGCAGCGTCACACGTAGGCGGTACACAGTGGCATCTACTTTTTATTATTATTGCCCTTGTAGGCAGACGAGGATACAGCCTGATAGTGAGTGGTAAACGTCGCCTATGGTCGTCAGCAATGCCAAGGGCAGAGCCAACCTGCTGCCTGACGTTAAGTACTCTCCACAAGCCTCGTTTGAAGAAGGACATGTCATAGCGCTCGGGAAGCACCATCGAGGGAAGCTCGTTCCAAAGCCTAAAAGAACATGGCAATATGGAAAAAAAGATCAGTGGAAGCGCATTATGAATGGACGCAGTGGTTTTAGGTAGTATGGATAAACTCTACTCCGGTGGCCGGCGGCAGTGCAATGGTAAAAACGCGATGATGGGATTATCTCAAACAATTCCTTAGAGCATTTACACTTACTTAACACGGTTAGGGGAAGGTAGAGCAATATCTGGAAACGAAGAAAGTGGATTAGTTTTGATATAATATCTACTTTTTATAGATTAATCTATTTAATTTAGAGGTGTCTCATTAACGATTACCATTACTTAAAATTTTCAAGAAGTTGTAAAAAGAGATACTTTGCTTTCATTTTTTATAAATTAAAATTTCTTCATCCACTATACCAACATATTGATAGACTAGCTGTACCCGTCCGCTTCGCTGGGCATTTAAAATTAACATTATTATTTCTCATCCCCACAAAGATTCTCATTATTAACGCCCCTGCAACTGGTGTAGGGAGCCCACCACTCATATAAATATTAGTCTATCCATTAAGTACACGTATTTTCTACATGGATACCAAGTTTCAAGTCAATCGGATGCATGGTTCAGTAGTTATGGAACATCCGTAAAAACCACTGTAGATTTATATATTATTAAAGATTAACGACTGAAACTTATCGTATTTAGGTATGTTTAACAATATTTATCACATTATTTTAGTGAAAACAAATAGTTCTAGAAGCTGCATATCGCTCACTGTCATATTTAAATGTTTATCTCATGATAAAAATTCTGTTTACATTCTAGTACAACAATATTTCTAAAAAACAATTGCGTTCCTTCTTTGTCATATCTAAATCAGATACAAAGTTTGCCAAATGGTAATAGAAACTTTTATCACTGTCGTTATCATGTTCATGTTAGGTATATCAAATAATCGTATCGTACTAGTGATGGCAGGATATTCAAAAACAATTCAGTTCTTTCTTCGATCTAATGAAATTAAGTTCAACGCAAGCTCGTTTTTGATTCCTTTCATTTTTATGAGGAGCGCTGCTAATTTTTGGAACGAAGTTCCTTGTGGGGAGATGCGGAGGGGTACCCTAACCGTGAAAAAAAGTCCGTAAGATTTTTAATAGTAATGCACAGTGTACGACTTAACTTTTTTAATAACGTACAAATTAGTCATGCACACAGTGTACAAATTAACTTTGTAATAACGTACAACAAATAACTTTTTTTTTTATCATTCATTGACCACGATTTCAGAGCGTTCGTTTGCGCAATACACTAACTCTTATGCAAACAACCGTGAATGAAGTGTACCATAATAATACATCAATATAAAAAAAACTCAGAAAAAAATTCCTTTATTAAACTTTATTATTGTTTAATGATTCTTCAAGAATCCATGCTGTCATGCCATTGCAGAGTTTGATATGCAATTCGCGCACACTGAGTTCTATATGCAAAAACTGCATACTTATTGACGGCCACTGATAATCTGCCGAACGCCACTAAGCTTTTAGGGTGGAAAACATTTTCTTGATTACAAACGCATCGAACCATATGCGAGGCATGAAACTGCACAGGATCGCCTGAAATTTTTATACGCAAATATTTTAATTACATACCAAGACACAGGAAATCACTAGATACTTTTATGGAATGATATGAGCAAAGGCTGATAGCACAATGCACACGTATTAAGTATTAAGGTAAGTGTTAATTAAAGAAGCACAGACGGGGTAAAAGCCGGATATTATACCGAGTAAATTTCATACTACATACAAGTAATCGATCTGCCTAGCGTTCGCGAAGCAGATCTACATTCCGGTTTTAATGGTTAAGATATCTGTGTGCTTAGTGCGAATTTTTTAACGTTCTCGATAGCGTAAAAGTTAGTTCATATTTGTATGAAATGGGATCGTTTGCGTACGTTTGCCGCTAGAGGCGCTGTTCCAACTGCATACAAAAATGGCTTAACTTTTACGTTACTGTTAGTCTAATGCAATATTTCGAACACGTATCGAGAAGCCGACGGCATTCATGTTGTGATTTTGGGAATGACTTTAATTATTGCTTTGGATTCGCTACTGTAGTCCAAACAAATCGCAGCGAGAACACCGTCCCATATCTTGACACATAAAGCAGAAATTTCGACTATATGATATGACCGCTATTTTTTTTTTATGATTGAAGGATTACTGGTGGCCCGGAGGCCTTTCCAGTTTCACCAGGACATGTGGGCGAGCAAAGGCTCAGCCAGGAGGGGTGGGATTTGCTAACAGCTGCCCGAGCGCCTCCGAAGGAGACCTAACAACTCAAGAGCAGCTGCTTCGCGAATGAATCTACTACCGGATCGGAATCGCGACCCGCTGAGAAGATCCGGCGAGAAACTCAGCAAGCTGATTCACGGGTTAGGTTGCACGTCGAACTCTTTGTCGAGTTCGACGAGTACGGTTACCGGGGTGCGTATCCGCTATCTTATCTATCCTAACCTTCAAACCGCAGGTGTGTGGTGGTTATGGCGAGAAAACAAACGCGGTACAGTATTTTCTTTGGTTTTCTCCAGTCATAGACATAATTGAAACTACTTTCACGGTTCAATCTCGATTTTTTTATTGTTACGCGCTAGGGCACGGGTTAAAAATAAACTCTCACCGAAATACAAATTAAACTAACTTAATAATTATTACGATACTTGATGATTGAAGGATTACTGGTGGCCCGGAGGCTTTCCAATTTCTCCAGGACAAGTGGACGAGCACGGGTTCAGCCAGCGGTGGGATTTTCTAATAGCTATCAAAGCGAACTCCTTTGTATCATCTTTGTAACGCTTTTATAGTCAACGCGACATGTCTACAATTTCCCAGAACATTTCATATTTTGAATACTCAGTTTTAGTGGTGGCTGATAATTAAGGTATTATTCGTCATTTTTATACTGTACTAACTACCGTCTATTTGGTTATAAAAAATATTTACAAAATTTTACGTTTTATTGCACTCAGAACGAACCAATAGTATCTTGAGGTCTGGCAGATTCTACGACTTGCGTTTTTATCTTCACAATAAGAGGATCTATCACCTGAGATACATAACGAGTAAAAAAATCGAGATTAAACGTAAAAGCAATTTTATTTATTGAAACGCAGCACTTGCTTAATGGCGGTTTCGTGAAAAACGCTGCAAACATATTTTTAGATATCTTCTACAATCTTCTATAAATTTTTAATTGTATTTAAAACTACTAAATTATTCTACAGTAATAGTAGCAAGTCGTCTGAATCGGATATGTACCTGGGTATATAAGATAATCACATCCAAATTTTGATCCACTGGTAACATAGTATCCTTTCTCCCATAAGTCTTTGAATATAGAATACTTAATGGCACCATCTCCTTCCAAAATATTTGGTCTTAATACATCCAAACCTACTGGACTGGTTTCTGAAAATGAACATTAAGTAATTCAGAATTTATGAATAAATATACGTATATAAGCTTATGTACCTATGCTGTGTCGTATTGGCTCACATTGTGGCTTGTGTGCATATGAATTTATTGAAATTTTTTCTGAGAAAATAAATTATGAACTAGATTTTAAGATGAGGGTTCTCTGTTTTGTTTTTTCTTCTTGCAAACCACAGACTTCCACTGCTGGACAAAGGCCTACCTCAAGTTTTTCCACAATGACTGGTCCTATATAACATTTTCTTTTAACGCTGGGGTATCCATTTACGGATACCCAGTCGAGAGGGTAACGGACCGGGTTATGTCGGACTACAGCGCCGAGGCAAGGCGCGCGAGGCACTTGCTCCGCAGAACCGACTATCGACTAAATCCCTCGAGCTCCACCGCACCGACTACACCAAACTTATGGTACCGCAGTGCGCGCCGAATGTCCTATATAGACTGCATCCAGCTGATTCCTGCGAACCTCAGTAGCTGTAGGTAATTGGTCCACCTGTTGCGAGGCATACCCATGCTACGCCTTCCGGTACACGGTCGCCACTCGAGAACTTATCGGTTTCAACAGCCATCTCTATTTTATTATTTGATAGGAATTAATCTTGAAAATAAATATCTATAGACAGTTAGGTAATTATTCTATATTACCTATATTTCTATACATTTCTTGTGGAAGTTGTACTAAAGTGTGGTCTGGATCTAAATCTTGTATTCTTTTTATTTCTTCTTCCAACATTGCATCTTTATCAATATTTGCATCTGTGAATGAAAACAAATATGTATTTTGTAATATTATAATTCATTGATTTGTTTTAAACTACACATTTTAAAACTTTAAGTGCAATTAGTTGTAGTTATTTGTATTTAAATTTCACACATAAACTAATGGACTTTAATAAAACTGTGGTTAAGTGCCAATTATTAGACCTTCAGCAAAAAAATCATTTTAAATAACATTTTCAGTTTTTCTTTCTACCTTTTTTTATTTATTTTTATTGCATAGATGGGTGGACGAGCTCACAGCCCACCTGGTGTCAAGTGGTTACTGGAGCCCATAGCCATATACAACGTAAATGCCGCCATTCACCTTGAGATATGAGTGCTAAGGTCTCATTATAGTAACAAGGGATGCCCCTCTTTCAAGCCGAAATGCATTACTGCTTCACGGCATAAACAGGCAGGGTGGTGGTGCCTACCCGTGCACACTCACAAGAGGTCCTCTCACCAGTAATTATGTAAATAACTTCACCATGGAAGTCAATTGTGAACATTTGATAAGTACGTATTTCATTACAATAATTGGTACCCGCCTGGGATCTGAACACCAGTGCATTGCTCAACACGAACACACCGGACGACTTATCCTTTAGGCCACTGTAAGCCTATTATTTATATAATGACAATATCTGAAGCAACATTATACAAAAGCATTTATTTACCAGACATCCCTTTATTTATGAGGTTTTTCTTTTTCCCAGCCACAATGATATCAATCTTTTGTGATAATTGTTCTATTTTGCGTTTCTTTAATGCTGATGCTTGTTGTTCAAGTACTCTATGACAAAAATATTTCTTTTTAGGTTTTGAAATGCATTTGTGTTAGAATTCACTTCCTATTTATTTATCACCAATTCAAATTATTCCAGCAATTCTTTTGATTAATTTAAATTGTAACTATTATAATTCAATCCATTTTTTTTTTATTTTACGACATAACAAAATTCAATATTTGTAACATTAAATTTTGTTACTTTTTTAAAAATTCTTCCATTAATTCTTTATCCTTTTCTGTTGGTTCATATTTACAAAATTCAGCTGGCATTTCATGAAGTTCACATATCCTCTTTTCAACCAATAATGCTGTTTCTTCAGAAGATAATGCAATCGGAAGCCCTGCAAAGATCTGAGAATATAAATTGAATACAAGCTAAGATTTTATCTTGTGAAACCTAAAACCATAGATAAAGAAACTATTTGCGACCTGGTCCACTTCTATGGAAAATAATATAAAATTCCAACTTTAGCATAAATCCTTCTTTAGTTAATTCATTGATTATGAACTCTCAATGTACAGCTAAAGAAACTATGTACTTGTTCAATTGATTGTTAATTTTCGTATTATATGTTTTGTTATAATTGCCAATTTTTTTTTTGTTACTATTCATTTTCCAAGCTGGAGTTGTTAAATTGAAAAATTAATGAGATTAATATTAAAAAAATTATCTAGCTAGTAAGTAAAATATATTTTAGACTTTCATGTGATTTTTTCATTAGATGGGAGTTTCTCTATCTGTAAACACTTAAGAAGTAGCACCATTATAAGTTAAACTGTTTATATTTTATAATTTCCATAATACCTATGTACCTTTTTCTAAATATGAAGTTTTTTTTAAAATATATATGTTATAGAGCACTTACCCAAGAAATCATTTTGCCTTGGAAATGAAGGTACTGAGCCAACGAAAGCAGAGCATATTCGATGCTGAGTACGTAAAATATACCAATCTAAATAAAATATTTATCATTTTCAGTAAAGGTAATTAAATAGCAGATTATAGTGGCATTTCAATTTCATTAATATCATGCATTAATTTCAAATTATTTTCTTAGGTATTTTATAAATTTTGATTAAACTAGTTGGCCAATTTTTTTGTAGCTTACGTTCCGAGTTCCACAAATAACCAATTCCTTTTTCAACGTATATCGGTATCATAATTGTTGAATTACTTCTTTGATGACTATTTTTTGACTTGCGTGAAAGCCTTTGAAAAAACGAATTTATCTATTTAGGCAGGTACCATAAAATGGGGTGATTAGGGATCGAGAGGTGAATGGGGAAAAAACTAGGAAAATCTTTCGACGCGCAATACTAAGTTAGTATTTTAACCGTTGCAAAATCTTCCATTTTTTGCAGTGTAATAGTAGAATATTCAAAGTTCACACAACAACTCTGAATATGCATGATAATAGCTGCTAACCATGGAGTTAATAAGTAAAATAGTAACTCTATTCTGCTAACTTATAAAAAATCGCATTTCAAATTAACTTCTTGTGGTTGTTATAATTTTAGTGCTAGAAACTTTGCTCTCTTTTATTTATTTGATAATAATAGAAGACGACTGTGATTTATAAACGTTATTTAGTGTTTGAACCATCATATATATTAAAGGTAAGTCTCAGTTGTTATTGGTTTTAATGTATTTGTTAAAATAAAAATACATGTAAAAATCTGTTGTTTTTGGAGATATTGGGGACGTCTCAGGTACAAATAACAACGAAAAAGGAGTCAATTGGGATGAGAATAAGTGAATTGAAAACCACCTAAGTATAAATAGGTACAGGATTGTAGAGTTGTCTATCTAGTTATATCAATATGTTTTTTTGTTGGTAACAATCTGGTTTATTCATGATGTTTTTGTCTAGAACTTTTATTCAAAATTATCAATGCAGTGTTATTTTATTGTTTGGCAAATATTTGTGTTATCAGTTACGTGTTGTTTTCTATTTTTAGATGTGCCTCGCGTGTACGTATCAAAGAGTGCAAATCCATATTTACTTTTATTTATTTATTTATTTATTTATTTCATTTACTTCAGATTTTGCATCCATATTATAATAACCGGCAAACTTCTTGAGCATTTGTTGACGTAGTGGGGGTAAGTTTGCGCATGGTACACTCACGTGCAAAAACATTATTTACTCTGCGTCATAATGCTATTAAATTATTAAAATCAACATATGTATTTATTTATATATTTATTAGAACATCAACAAAACATATAGGTTAATAATTGTAATAATTTAATCTTGGGGTAAAATAGATATTCCTTCTATTAAGTCAAAACTAGAGCTGTTGCCAGGTCTTGGTTCAGTTAAAGCGAAGCTGGTATTTGTAATTTTTTTTTCGTTATCATAATCTTTACCATCATCATCATCACTGTTTTCATCACCCGAGTCGCTATCATCGTGATGAGTCGACATAGGGCTCATCGGCGTAGTTTACAACTCGGTCGATTCGGTCTTCTTTTTTGTCTATAATTAATTATTTTTTGAAGATATTCGATTCGTAGTAATCGAATGTTACTTTTTTCATTTACCAGCTTCCGATTATTTTCTGTTCTTTTTTTCCATCTGAAGCCTAGCTCTTTCATAATTCGTCGTAAGCTTCATTCCGAGCCATTAAAATTTATATCTTCTTTAAATTTTTCGAAGCCTTTCTACGGTACGGAGTTTCGCTGCTTGTTATGTAGTTATTATGATTACATCTTTTTATTACAGATTGAACGAAACTATCCATTCCGGTAACTTTCTTCTTCCCTGATCTTTTCTTACCCGGAGTCCGAAACACGGCGAGCAAGCCAGAGCCTTTAGCTTCGTTAATAATGCACCTAACAGTACTCACTGATGTTTTTGTTGCTTCCGAAGTCTGTTTTAATTTTTCCATATCATTCTTCCCCTGTTTTATAATGAAGCAATATACGTCGTACACAAATTTTCTACCCTTTCTTTTAAGTACTACACCAGTTTGTCACGGCATAGTGTATGTTTTATAAAAAATCAACAAACACTCAACAAATAGCAATGGCAACAAAGTCCACAAGCAATTATAACAAATAACTTAACGATTAATAACGATAGACTTTCCACTGTACGCAAGCGTACTTTTGGGAGCAAGCGGAATGAGGGCGCGGTGCGGGACGCAAGGTTCGACTGATCTACCAATAACGCGCTCGATACGATTTCCCCTGCCGTCGCGCCTCACCCTCGCCACCAAAGTGATCTAAAATTCGGTTCTGCGCAGTCAAGGTCATTTGCTCAAGAAGTTTGCCGATTACTATACATTCATTAACATTTCATTTAAAACTAATTAATTAATTTAAAATAATTTAAATATTTTAATAGTTGTACATATTAACTCCATGGTTTTTTGTCAATCATCATCATCATCATCATCTCAGCCTGTCCATTGTCCACTGCTGAACATAGGCCTCTCCAAGTGATCTCCAGTGCGGCCGGTCCGTTGCCACCTGCATCCAACGTGACCCAGCGGTTCTTACCAGGTCGTCGGTCCATCTCGTAGGTGGCCGTCCCACACTGCGCTTGCCAGTACGTGGTCTCCACTCGAGGATCTTTCCGCATTTGTTTTTTTTTTTTCATTCATCTTTTTGTCAATGATCATAGATAATAATACACTGCTAATGATTAAAGATGTAGATGTAGGTATTTACCTACGAAGTGTATTAGATATGACTAGCACAGACAAAGCTGTATAGGCTTAGATCTTTTTGCCTTTTCTAATAATTTTTGGCGGGAACACGAGGAGTGAAGTTGAGTGATTTGTTTTATTTTGTGAATTTAGTGTTTCGTCGAGTTTAAATGGGTAATAACGGTGGTTTATTAACTGTTTATTATTTCTGAAAGTGCAGAAATGTGAGAAAAAGAAGCAAAGCGGCTGGAGGTAACTTCTCGGGATCCTCCAAAAAGGCTACTAAAAATATCTCAGTAAACCCCCATTTTCTGAGATTATATTATTTCATCCCATCCCATATCATCTTATCTCATGTCATTTAATTTCATCCCAGTTGATTAATGTCTCAAATTAATCATCTTCACTTCATTTCATTTCACTCCTTATTATCATTTTTCATAAAGAAAAGATTTATAAATTAAAATAAGACATGACCTAAAGGTCTTAGTTACCAGATCAGAAAATCCCTTAAAAAACCTATTGTATATTGTGATTAGCGATGTGAACCGATTACAATTTCTGGCTCCGGTTTATTACCGATTTTTTTCTCAAAAAACCGGTTTTTTTAGGTATTTTTAGGTTTTTTCCATAAAGGCTAAATAATCACTAAATAAAACAAATTTACGTACAAACGAAGAGTTTTTTTCATACAATTAATTGGGTGAGCATATTTTATATAGGCTTTTAATGATCATATTATTATATATTATCCAATAATAAAAGTTTTGTATATTTGATTTAATACTACTGTATTAATCAAAATTTTGATGCAAGAGGCATAGTTGGTCCACTGCGTCATTCAGAAGCCTGCTCCTTCTGGGTTTTAGCACGTGCCAGCAATTTCGGTGTGGTTTTCTATGGCGGCTTCAGTCCATTCGCACTATATTCACTGCGGCCGCCGTGGCGTTCGGAATATCCTGTTTTCGCGAATGCAAAAAATCCAGAATACCAGGCTTTTAAAATTGTTTGTTGTTTTTTTTTGTCTGTTCCGATGATAAAGCGAGAGTTGAAAATTCTTCAAGAAGATTCCCCAGTTCACGATGCACCATCTCTTTTGCAGACAACATGTGCTCTGGTTGGCGAAAGCCATTTCTGAGTGTTGGGTGCAGATATATATATATATATATATATATTTGGGTCACGGTCCTCATTTCGTACGATAAAAGTCTACCAACCATATTGTGGTTATTGCACTGTAGTTTTTAAATGTAATGCACCGTAATTTGATTCTGAAACACGGTTTTTTTTATATTTGTAGCTTGTATATTTGACCTGGTAGCACTGGTATGAACTGTGAAAGTAAAGCGTAAAAAACCGGTATTCTTAAATAAAAACCGGTATTTATCGGTATGTATAAAAACCGGTTTTTCTCCGGTTTTCTTCGAACCGGTTTACATCCCTAATTGTGATGTTGTGTAATATTTAAAAATCAAGCGAATGGTGTTTAAAATTGCATTTTCAATGGGACGTTATAGCAATAAAAATTAAAACATAAGTGGAATTTTATCAATTAGAAAATTATGACTGCAAAAAGTGTAATAATCGGTAATTTACTAACTTATTATATTTAATTAAATCATAAGGCAATAAAAACACCCGTTTTTTTTGTAAGAGCAAGTGTCTTATCATTGACAAGATATTATTGTGTTTTACCTTTATTATCAACATACTGAAACAATGTACGTACAACAGAAGACACATAGTTCACAAAACTTACTACAAGCTGGTGTAACAATATTAAACTTTATATTTAAGGTGGCGGCACCGGTTTTATTGGAAAACATTTAGGCGAACTGCTTTCATCAAAAGGATATGATATAATGAACGTAGCTCGTATGCCAGCCTCGAAAAATATATCCTGGTCAACAATAGAGGCCTCCGGCTTACCAAAAAATACTTCGGCCGTTGTCAATTGTGCTGGACAACAATTCATGGACTTTACCAAGTCCTGGACACCAGGGTAAAATCTATTTCTTTAAAAATGTAATATTAACTTGTAGTAGAATATATTGATTGTCTGCAAGGGTAGGTTCTACTATCCAATTTACTTTTGCTGTGAAATTGTCATGCATTCCAGTTTATAGGGTGAGACAGCCATTATACTATACAATTTACACATAAACCTTAAGTATCTGGTCACTGGCAGTATTGAAATGATATCCGGGACCAAGTAATTTCTAATACCAGGTGGGTCCACGAGCTTGTTCACCTCCCTATGCAATAAAAAAGGGAAAACCTTGATTTGCACAAAACTACCTGTTTACTGTGTAGTCTTTGAATATAATTATATATCTTATACTGGGTGTTAAGAGCTGTTTCCAAAAATAAAGACAAGTACTAAGGACACCTTTGGTGATGGGATGGAAAAAAAACATATTTTTAAAACGTTTTATTAGCTTTATTTATGCTCTATCATGTTAGTACAGCTAAATAAAACGATAGTTTCATAAAAATTACATTACTTAACAAAAACCAGCAATGATACACAAAATAAAAAACAGCTGATGCTAAGATCAATGAACTCCCGGGCGTGGCATTTTTGATTCTGCTGATATTGCGCTCTTCAAAATGTATAACTTTGTAGGTACAAAATTTTCATTTTTGGAAGCGTTCTCCTAACACCCAGTTTAAAATGTTTAGTGATTTTTTAAAGACGGGATCAATAAAAAAGTGTAAAGCTCACCTGATTGATATTAAGTAGTACCAATAACTACCAAACTAAAGTAACCATATATATAAAAAAGTGCTGCTACTGTATTTTTTTAGTTTTCTAGGTGTGCACATTTTCTCTCCAACCCAATTTATTTGTGTTCCAGGTTCAAACAAAATGTACAGAATTCACGTATCTACACAACCAAAGCTTTGGCTACCGCTATAAACAAAGCTCAAGATAAACCAAAAGTATTTGTACTAGTTACAGGAGTTGGTGCATATGAACCTTCAAATGTAAATAAATATGATGAGAGCAGTCCTACAACTGGGACAGATTTCTTCTCACGGCTAGTTGTTGAATGGGAAAAAGCTGCTCAAGTAGATCCACCAGTGAGACTTGTAAGTTTCTAGATCAATACAATTAATTTAATTATAGATATACTAATTAGTGATATATTTTAAGTTTGAGTGACAGGGTGTTAAGGTTTCAGGCATTCTGGTGGTGAAATCTATAAGCCAGTGTTGAGTTTTAACATCCAATTTTATTGTTAAGCAACCAGAATTTGTCAAGGGTCAAGAAATTATAAAGCAGATCCTAATTTTGTTTTTCTTACCTAGCTGATAGTCTTGAGAGGATATGAAAGCGTAACCCGACAAGTAGATGAGCTCATGGGGCTTAAATCTGACGACGTTGCTAACACACCCTAGCAAGAGCAGCGCTTCGCAGAATCTACCACCGGATCGGAAACGCGACCCACTGAGAAGATCCGGCGAGAAACTCAGTGGGCTGTGTCTGAGGGTTAATTTACTCGTCGAGCCCTTCGTCGCAAGCGACGGGTTCGACTAGAACGATGACCGGTGCTTGAGGTACCTAAAAGCACCGTTAGTGGATCGAGAGGATCCTAAATGACGTGTTTGGGGCGACGTCGACTGCTTTCCATTCTGTCTGACTGCTTTCCGCTGGATCGGGATTGAATGATCTGGAGTAGTTTTAGGTTAGTGCGAGGCGCGTGAACGAACACTACACTTGCATAGGTCATGACGGGGCGTATGCAAGTTTTGTAGAGTGTCACCTTATTTCTATGGGACAATTTACTTCGCCTGCATCTCATCGGATAGACTCAAAGACCAAGGCAATATATCGAAGCCCTCGAGATGTGGTACTGGCGGCGACTGCTGAGCGTTCCATGGACTGCTTTTAGAACCAACGTCTCCATCATGCGGAACTAAAAATCCAGCAGATTATATTCGACTCGATCGTGCAAATACGAATCCTCAAACATTTCATTTCGGACACTCCCGAAACTAATACACCATGAGACGACTCGTCTAGGTACAGGTGGAGGACAGGCGGTCACGCGGTCAATCACTTATGCACGTATTGGACAGACCCGGCCATCCGGCTATGTAATGAGCTCCCCTCCACGGTGTTTCCCGAGTGCTATGACATGTCCTTCTTCAAACGAGGCTTGTGGAGAGTATTAAGCGGTAGGCAGTGGCTTGGCTCTGCCCCTGGCATTGCTGAAGTCCATGGGCGACGGTAACCACTCACCATCAGGTGGGCCGTATGCTCGTCTGCCTACAAGGGCAATAAAAAAAAATAAAAAAAAAGATCCCATCAAAGCTGTAACGCAAACGTCTTTTGTCGAACTTCTAGAGGCCCTGAAGATCGCAACAAATGGAGACATATCAACCACGATAACTCTGTCAAGAGTGAACGACTAAGAAGGAGACTTACTTGAAGCTATATTGCTACAACCTATATATTTGATTTATACTTGAAACATAGCTACTGGTGGTAGGACCTCTTGTAAGTCTGCACAGATAGGTACCACCACCCTGTCTATTTCTACCGTGAAGCAGTAATGCGTTTCGGTTAGAAGGGTAGGGCAGCCATTGTAACTATATTGAGACCTTAGAACTTATATCTGAAGGTGGGTGGCGCGTTTACGTTGTAAATGTCTATGGGCTCCAGTAACCACTTAATACTAGGTGGCTGTGAGCTCGTCCACCCATCTAAGCAATAAAAAAAACTTAAAATGTACAGCTGTCCCATTTTTACAGGTGATCATTCGTTCTGGAGCCGTTCTAGGTAGATGGGGTGGTATGATAAAGAACATGTTTTTACCCTTTTTTTTGGGTTTCGGAGGACCCATAGGTGATGGAAAACAATACTTGCCCTGGATCCACATAGACGACCTCACGAGATTAATTAATTTTGCCATAGAAAACGAGAATGTCAAAGGGGTATTGAATGGTGTATCTCCAAATGTTATCACTAATGAAGAATTTACCAAGGTTACTAATTACTTTTTTTTTAAGTATTCAAAATGAATCTGTGATTGAAATTTGATTGCTAAATATCGATAAGTCAGAATTTGTCCATAATTGCATCTGATGATTGATTACTTAGCTGTATTTTTTTTTTTTTTTTATGTTAATGCACTGTCGATTGCACCTATAATTGAGGTGACATCTGCCATGAACTTTTGTCAATTGTTCAATGTTTTGTATTGATGATCACTTTGTTGGTGCAACTTAATAAATAAATAAATAAATTACTTAACGTCAAGTAAGCCATAAACTTGTTTGTCTGCACTGTATAAATCTGCCATTCATTTGGAACGGTAACTGTAAATGCAATTGAAATATAAGTTTAACGTATAACATAGATTTCATATTCTTGTAGAGAAAATTGTGCTTCACTGTTAAAGTATACTTCAAACTGCCATAGAGTAGAACTAAACCTAATTTTTTTCAAAATGTTTAAGAAATATAAAAAAAAACAATTATCCGGGGTCAAACGCAACTTAATGACATTGAAATTCCTTCGTCCTATCTATTTTACTTAATAAACACTTCTATTGTAATTTTATAAGAATGTATGGTAAGCAGTCTAGAAAACACTAATCTATAGTAGGTACTTAGGTACCAGGTATGGGGATACCTGGTATATTTACTGGTGGTAGGACCTCTTGTGAGTCCGCGCGGGTGGGTACCAACACCCTGCCTATTTCTGCCGTGAAGCAGTAATGGGTTTCTGTTTGAAGGGTGGGGCAGCCGTTGTAACTATACTTGAGACCTTAGAACTTGTATCTCAAGGTGGGTAGCGCATTTACGTTGTGGATGTCTATGGGCTCCAGTAACTACTTCACACCAGGTGGGCTGTGAGCTCGTCCACCCATCTAAGCAATAAAAAAATAAAAATAAAAACCTGGTACCTAAGTAAAAAAGAACATGGTTGAAAATTTCAAATTTTGCTAATGTTATTTGTCATTCATATAATGTAGCCTAATTAAAAAGCACCTGACCCGAGATGATAACGTTTCATCAGCGTAGAGTATTTATTGACTAGAAATCTCTTTACCTTCACTAAGTAAGAGTTCGTAAAATATACAAAATCTATGGTTTAATTAAAAAATCTATTAACAGAATTCCAATATTATCTGTATGGTTAAATTTTTTATGTCTACATTAATTTTTTGTATTTTAAAAACCCTACATATCCATTATTTTAGAATAGAATACAAAAATTTACTTTATACACGAACTAAGCGCTTTGTATTAAAATTGGTATCAAGATACAAAAACATCATGTTGAGTGACCATATTTTTGCAACGATAAAAAAGAAGAGTATTTTGTTGAATAACCTACAATTAAATTTGACAAATTTTAAAGTAAAATAATCAGATTGAAATCAAGTCAAGTAGACATTTAATATTTTATATATTAAATTTCAGTCATTCGCGAAGGCATTAGGACGACCAGCGTTCATACCAGTACCAGAAGCAATCTTGAACTTCGCACTGCATCCAGAAAGGGCTATGATTATGACCAAAGGGCAGCATGTCATACCAAAGAGGGTTCTTGAATATGGGTTCAAATATCGTTATGAAAACATTAATGATGCCTGCAAAGAGTTCGCGCATCTTTTCCCTAAGAAAAACGTATAATGAATCATAGATAATACGTGATATAGTCTATGCGGACTAACTAGGCCATTGAATACTGGGCACTCCGAACTATGCGCGCACCTAAACGCGAATGAAATATATATTTAATTAGTAAAAATATATTTATTTTGTAACTTGTGGGCATTTTGTCTAGGAATTTAATACTAGAGTTATCTGTTTTCGCGTCTAGCTGTGTGAGCTCAAGCTGAGCTCGCGCTCACCGACCATAGATTAGGTAGCCCTATTGTTATCACGTAAGTAAGTAATTGAATTAATATAAAAATAGGTGCAGCAATTAGAACATTTGTTGAATTTGTAAACGCTTTAATGAGTTGTGATTTTTTGAAATAAAGTTTATATTAGCGAATTGGTGTTTTTATTTTGCATCTCATGTTTTGGGTCGTAAACGACTCTAAGCGTGTACATAATGATAAATAATAATAATAAAAACACACTCATATATGACTCGTGCAAAATTGGAAGTCCAATATCTCGCTCACTGCCTCAATTGAGATCGAATTGTTAGACGAGTGATGAGGGAGCCCTACTTCGGTTTAGAATCTCACAGCCACCCCATCGACCAAAACGTTGACCACAATTTTTTCCCGTGCAGAAAATAGGTGGTGATAGTGAACATATTTACTATCGCATAATCTGTTGATCTAATTAAACAAGACTGACACTTAAGTTGTTTTTTTTTATTGTTTTGTAGGCAGTCTAGCATACTGCCCACCAGATGGAGAGTGGTTACCCACGCCCATGGACTTCAGCAATGCCAGTGGCAGAGCGAAGCTGCTGCTTACCATTGAGTATTCTCCACAAGCCTCGTTTGAAGAATGACATATCATAGCGCTCGGAAAAACACCGTGGACTCAACAAACACTCATTCAACTCATTCTAAAACCGGATGGTACGTGGCAAAAACGATCTCTGGGAACGCACTGTGGAAGAACACAGTGACTCCAGGTAGTATGGATGAATTCTACTCCAGTGGCGGGCGGCGATGGTGAAAAGGAGAATAATCTCGTTTTGATTTGAGATGATTTCTCATGGAATCATCTATCAAATAATTCCTCGGAGCACTCCCCGTGGAACATACGGTAAAAAATACAGAGAGAAGTGAAGTCCCTCCGCAAACCCAGAGTTTCGTAACGATCCCTGAGAATGAGATTATCGACAAACCGAACGGGTTTCTTCTGAATGAAGTCAAATGGAAGTAGCTGGTGTAAAGGAGGCCCGGCCCAGAGGTGGGGGCAGTACTCCACGCGAGGCTGGACCTGTGCTTTATAAAACAAAAGTCTTTATCCAAGCGTGAAGTACCGCTTCGCTCTGTTGATGACTCCCAGCATTTTGGACGCCAACTTGGCTTTCCCTCCAAATGACTCCGAAACGGGACATCGATCGAAATGTCGATCCCAAGTATCCCAGTACTCGTGGAACGTTGCAAGGATACTCCTTGGAATTGCGGCACCATGACAAAGGGGTTCTTCCTTCCATGTTCTTCGCAGTAAACGCGCAAACTTGTGTCTTCAACGGGTCACTCGGAGATTTGCCCAGAGAGTTCTCCACTTCGGACACAAGTTTTGATCGTCTCTCTTGCACCACGCTCCGAGAGGGACTCAGATGGCCGATATATCGCGCATCTCCCGTGCTGTCATCCGCATAGCAATGCATGCCATCAATAGACAGCATGTCATTGATATACAGAATGAAAAGCGTGGGGGAGAGCACTGAACCTTGTGGAAAACCAGCGTTAATGGTCATGGTATCGGAGCAGTCACCGCCTAGAATGCAGCGATGCACTTGCAGAGTCCCTCAGGGATTCCGTAAGATGGTAGCTTCGACAGAAGTGCCCTGTGCCGACCCTGTCGAAGGCCTTCGCGATATCAAGGCTCACAGCGAGAGCCTCGCCCTTGCTCTCCAAGACTTCAGCCCAACTGTTAGTAAGATATACAAGAAGATCGCCAGATGAGCGACCGTGACGGAAATCGTACTGTCGGTCACTGATCAGCTGGCGATCCTCAAGATACTTCAGGAGTTGTGTATTTATTATTCATCACCTCGGAAAGCAAGGCAGTTATCGCGATAGGCCTATAGCTCGATGGGTCCGACCGGTCACCCTTCTTGGGGATAGGGTAGACGTGGGCGGTCGTCAATGAAGACGAAACCCTGTTAGTGAAATAAGAGAGGTGATACGAACGCGTTAGGGCAGGTGTCAGCTCAGGGGAGCACGTTTTCAGAACCACTGCCGGGATGCAGTTTGGCCCACTTGACTTATGATGGACGTCCAGGAGTCGGAGCTCCCGCCTAACGGTACACTGTGTGAAGCAGATCTCCGGAAGGGAGCTATCACACCGGAAGATGTTCGGTGGTGTGGCATTCCCGTCGTCCACAGTCGAGTTCGAGGCGAAGAGTTTGACCAGAAGGTCAGCCTTCTCTTTCGCACAGCAGGCCAGACTCTCATCGCGATGGTGGGAGACTAAACCTGCAAAAATTTCCTTCTGCAGCTTTGGCAAGCGACCAAATAGCACGACTCCCAGAGGGATAGCTCTTTAGCCGCTCGCCAATTCTAGCAATGTGCTTCGACTTCACCTTTTTTTTTTATTGCCTTTGTAGTTAGACGAGCATACGGCCCACCTGATGGTAAGTGGTTACCGTCGCCCATGGACTTCAGCAATGCCAGGCGCAGAGCCAAGTCGCTGCCTACAAAGCCTTCTTGTAAGACCTAGAATCGGAGTTATATTTTTTTTTTATTGCTTAGATGGGTGAACGAGCTCACAGCCCACCTGGTGTTAAGTGGTTACTGGAGCCCATAGACATCCACAACGCAATTGTACCACCCACCTTGAGATATATAAGTTCTAAGGTCTCAAGTATAGTTACAACGGCTGCCCCACCCTTCAAACCGAAATGCATTACTACTTCACGGCAGAAATAGGCAGGGTGGTGGTACCCATATTTCCGTCTTTTCCCTTAGAGACGTTAGGATCCTGACGTCTCCTGGCATTATCCCATGCCGCGTATGCAGACCTCTTGAGGTGTGTAGCATCCCTACTGGCATTGTTATACCAGGATCTGCTGCGACCCCCGACGGGCACCTCAGAGGAGGGAATAAAAAATTCCATCCCCTGTAGCACCACGTCTTTAAGACGGTCCGCACAGACGTCAGGCTCACCAGAGGGAAAAGAGAGCCGTCCCCAAGGGTAGGATGCGTAAAATTCGCGCAATCAACGCGGTAGTCACGGTAGTCAACAGAAGATCCAACAAAGAAGGCTCGTGCCCCTCAATATCTGCGACACGGGTGGGTTGTGTCACCTGCTGGGAGAAACCGTAGGTCAAGGCGAAATCGTAGGCAGCCCGACCCGGGAGGTCAGTGGTTCTGGACCCCAACCACTCTTCGTGGTGAGCGTTAAAGTCTCCAAGAACCACCACCTCCGCAGATGGGTGCTGCTCATTCATGCGGTTAGTCACCTCTTGCACATGCTTAATCAGAGCTGAACATGCATCACTGCTGTGGGACCTGTACAGGCAGGCGTAGATTCGGGTACAAGCCCCGTGATCTACGCACAGCCACAAGAGGAACTGGTCCCGTTGTTCGAAGCCCCGAAGACGGCGACAACAGACATCAGCCCGGACGAATACACACACCCCGGCTGTACGTAAGAAGTTGTGCTCCAATACGTATCCGGAGTATTCAAGTTACGAGGTATCCATCCGGAGCAGATATCTGCGTCTCCGTCAAAAAAAGTAAGGCACGCTGCGCCGTCTCAAGGTGGTGGTGGTGTATGGCGTGAAGGTAGTATTAGAGGTTAGCCTTAACATTTGGGTCCTCCTCAGGTTAGAGCCCCGTGAGTTCAGCTGCTCGTTCAGCGACTCTAGCATAACTCCTCGAGGTTACTAGGATAGGTAGGATAAAAAAACTTGTCGATCTCATTTTTATCATCGTTGGTCTGTGACCTAGTGAAGACTACTCGACGACCTGTATAGAAATCTTTTTTTTTTTCAAATCCATGATTAAAGTTCCTCTGTCTAGTGGTATGTAGTTGCCATAGTGAATGTTGGTAGGTATTAACTTTTAAAGCGCTCATTAAGAACCAATGCATTTTAATATTAACCATAACTAAACATACGTCCACTTAGGGCATGTACATTGAAATTATAAAATTCAGTTCATAATGACTGTAAATTGATAAACCTAATTAAGATTAAAGCCGGACCGATTTCTTATCACACTTCAAAATTTTAAGAAAAATCAAGGCTAATTTCTTTATAGTATTTAGGTTTCGGGAAATTCACGGTACAAAACAAATTTAAAAATCCTAATAACTTAATGTAAATTCAATTTTAACTAATTCTTGTCAGCACCCACGCAACTATAAAAAAATCAAAATATCTTTGTTTATTGATCTGATTTATAAGCCCTCCTAGGCGACAGACACTATTAATTGTAAAAAAACACTACTGTAAAGAGCAATATGCATTATTTTAACACAATGACACGCACAACTCAAATTGTGGTTAATAAAATTATTTTTACAATAAGAAAAAAGCAATTTAGAAAAACATATTTATTGAGATTGTAATATGAAATTAGTATAGTAAAAAGCTTACAAAATAATCGTATCACTGTTTATAAATAGATAATGTACATTTTTTCATAAATTATATAATTTTGACCTCATAAACGTTTTTAACAAATAGTGTTTTGAGATACATAATATGTATTCATACAAAATGAATACACAGGTGAAAAAGGAATTTTAATCTAAAGACATAATTCTAGACAATTACATACTAATCAAAATAAAAAACCTAGGAAACAAGTAAATATCTATATCTCAAAATTACTAACTTATTGAATTCGTATAAATATTAATGCCAATGACCATGAAAAAAATAGAAAACGAAAATAATATTTCCTTAATTACACACATCAAAAGCGTATTTAACAAAAAGAGAAAAGCATTAAAGTTCTTAAACAAAGTTAACAGATAAAACAAAGTTTTAGATTTGGGTTTTGACTATAACGGAACACGGATCTTTTTAATTTTAATTTTTAAATTACAATAATTGTAAATTAAAAATTATTCGTGACTCTTAATTATATATTTCTAGCAGACGGCCATAATTGGATCATAATTGTACTAAGTAAGTGTGTATAAAAATCAGTTTTAAAAATAATTATGACCTTTAAATGGGGGCCATAGAATAGATGTTAAGTATAGACTATTTTTGTCCGCAGATCTCTTTCATAAGCCCTATCCTTTGTGTTTTATACATTATATACATATTGAACATCATTTCATGGTGCATCAGGGTCGGCCTGTGAGAATTTCTTAACAAGACAGGATACATATTTTCGGAGCATTTCCTGCCTCATACGGCCTACGTCAAGAACTTCCTCGTGATTAGCTTCTGCATCTTGATCGTAATTAGTAATGCATTCATTCGTAATCAGAGATAATCCGAATACCTTAATGTCGCAGTGTCTAGCTGTGATAACCTGAAAATTAATAATATTAAATTTTCAATGAGTTTTCTGTATCAAATTTAAATATCTAACGATATCTTTCAAGTAATAAACGTAATCGCTATAGATAAATATAAACGGAGGAAACAGTTTCCAATTAAATAGTATTACCATGGAAACAACTTTGCGTTATTTGTAAGTGTAATGGTATCATCTATAAAAAGCAATTTAACATTTTTATTTTTCATTATATGCATGATGTTCGGTCAAGTAATTATAACGTAAAAGCGTAACAAATAAACAAGTTCAAATTATATTATGTACATATTAAATATGTAGTATTATATTATAAATAGTAGGTATATATTTTTAAGTTGAGTGGAATGAAAATGGTAACTTCAGAGCTATTTCTCAACAAGGTATCAAAAAAAGATAAAGAATAATATTTTGATATTGACAAATGTTATATAACACGTTTGAGTCAAATTAAGCTAGTAAAATACAAGACCAGTTTCTAATATCGCATTATGGTATACTTTATCATATACTATTATTATAAAGTAGTATATATAGTAGCAGTATATTATAAAATATGATACCAAATTTTTTCAGACTGGAAAACAATGGACAAAACTGTCCACAGCGCCTTCTGACACGCTCTTTGACTGTTTTTGAATCTGTCTGTGTTTTTTTATTGCTTAGATGGAGGACGAGAGCTCACAGCCCACCTGGTGGTGGTGTTAAGTGGTTACTGGAGCCCATAGACATCTACAACGTAAATGCGCCACCCATCTTGAGATATAAGTTCTAAGGTCTCAGTATAGTTACAACGGCTACCCTTCAAACCGAAACGCATTACTGCTTCACGGCAGAAATAGGCAGGGCGGTGGTACCTACCCGTGCGGACTCACAAGAGGTCCTACCACCAGTAATTACGCAAATTATAATTTTGCGGGTTTGACTTTTATTACACGATGTTATTCCTTCACCATGGAAGTCAATCGTGAACATTTCTTAAGTACGTATTTCATTAGAAAAATTGGTACCAGCCTGCGGGATTCGAACACCGGTGCATCGCAACAACGAATGCACCGGACGTCTTATCCTTTAGGCCACGACGACTTCAGCACTTCACTTCTCTGTCTTCGACTCTCTATAAACGTGCCGTGGCTTTAAACGTTAGCAAAAAGCTATCTATTAGAATCAGCGACCGGTTAAGATCTTTCACGTGAGTTTACGATACGATTTATCCACTTAACTGATTCTGAACAATTATCGTTATCTCGGGTAAAAGAGTCGACATTATTTTAATCGCTATTATACGTTTCCACTTATATTTGTCATTGTATATGACGTTATAATATAATTGGCCCTACGTATTTAAACGTTTGAACTTTCGAGGTATTTCTATCACTCTTATCAGTTGAAATGTATACCAATTGTATCTGCCCGCCGAGACAATAAAAAAAATCTGTTAATTTAGATCTAAGCAATGCATGAAGGTTGAACAAAACAACGTCTCTGGATAATACATACTGGTGGTCACATTTTTACTGGTGGTAGGACCTCTTGTGAATCCGCACGGTTAGGTACCATCGCCCTGCATATTTCTGCCGTGAAGTAGTAATGCGTTTCGGTTTGAAGGGTGGGGCAGCCGTGGTAACTATACCCAGACCTTAGAACTTATATCTCAAGGTGGGTGGCGCATTTACGTTGTAGATGTCTATGGGCTCCAGTAACCACTTAGCACCAAGTGGGCTGTGAGCTCGTCCACACATCTAAGTAATAAAAAACACACACATCTAAGCAATATAAAAACACATACACGCTACATAAAGATTGTTTAACTAGTGTCGATTAAAGAATTAGCGCTTTTCATCTGTCGTGTAGACAATGGCCTACCTCGTGAACAGTAGACATGCCAACAGCGTCTACTCCAACCATCTTTAACATATTCAATTCGGCGACTGTCTCGAAATTTGGACCGCCCAAACATGTATAAACTCCTTCCCTTACAATATGATCGATGTTTAATTCCTTCGCAACCTGAAACAAAGTAATGAAACATTGTCACCATTGTTTTAACAATCAAAGACAAATACTTAGTCTGGCCATAAATACTGTTACAATTAAAAATAAACAAAATATTACATTTGAATTTGGAATCTGTCATTTTTATATGATTGCTCATTGAGTTTTCTCATTTTGGCGCCAATACATTGTACAATATTTTGCGATATTAAAATGGAGTGGGTGATAAAGAGAACCGAATCGCTGTGATTGCATTACACAAAGTAGGTATGAAGNATACTTAGTCTGGCCATAAATACTGTTACAATTAAAAATAAACAAAATATTACATTTGAATTTGGAATCTGTCATTTTTATATGATTGCTCATTGAGTTTTCTCATTTTGGCGCCAATACATTGTACAATATTTTGCGATATTAAAATGGAGTGGGTGATAAAGAGAACCGAATCGCTGTGATTGCATTACACAAAGTAGGTATGAAGCGAAATGCAATTTTAAAAACTCTCCATACGCTTGGTATTAGTAAAATGTTTGTGTATCGGGCTATTAATAGGTGCAATGAGATCTCCTCTGTTTGTGACAGAAAAAGATCTGGCCGTCCACGTAGTGTTCGTACGAAACAGGTGGTCAAAGCAGTAAGGGAAAGAATTCGAAGAAATCCTGTCCGAAAGCAAAAGATTTTATCTCGGGAGATGAAGATAGCACCTAGAACCATGTCGCGTATTTTAAAAGATGACTTAGGATTTGCAGCCTATAAGAGACGTACTGGCCATTTCTTAACTGATAATTTAAAAGAGAATACGGTGGTAAAATCGAAACAACTACTGAAGCGGTACGCAAAGGGAGGTCATTGAAAAATTTTGTTTACGGATGAGAATTTTTTTACAATTGAGCAACATTTTAACAAACAAAATGACCGTATTTAGGCTCAAAGCTCTAAGAAAGCTTCCCAATTAGTCGGCAGAGTGCAACGTGGGCACTATCCGACTTCAGTGATGGTTTGGTGGGGTATTAGCTATGAAGGAGTGACTGAGCCATACTTTTGTGAAAAAGGTATCAAAACATCGGCACAAGTATATCAAGATACCATTCTTGAGAAGGTAGTGAAGCCTCTTAACAACACCATGTTCAATAATCAAGAATGGTCCTTCCAGCAAGACTCGGCGCCAGGTCATAAAGCTCGGTCTACGCAGTCTTGGTTGGAAACGAACGTTTCGGACTTCATCAGAGCTGAAGACTGGCCGTCGTCTAGTCCCGATCTTAATCCGGTGGATTATGATTTATGGTCAGTTTTAGAGAGTACGGCTTGCTCTAAACACCATGATAATTTGGAGTCCCTAAAACAATCCGTACGATTAGCAGTGAAAAGTTTTCCCATGGAAAGAGTGCGTGCTTCTGTTGATAACTGGCCTCAACGTTTAACGGACTGTATTGCAGCCAATGGAGACCACATCGAATAAGCTTTTTATATTTTAAATTGTTTTATATTTATGCATTAAACTAACACACTGTAAAAGTAATAAATGTTATTTGCAATAGAATTTTTTTTTCCTCTGTCTCAGTATTTATGGCAAGACTAGGTATATGTTAAAACTAGACGCGCCAATGTTGCGAAATGAAAAGTCACAACTACTTTGCAATTTTTTTTGTTTCCTATAACGCCCATTGGTCATATTTTGAATATCAGTAAAATTGATTCTGTTGTACTAGCAAGTTATAATAAAAGTTTAATCACAAGTCTAGATTCGTGTAGTTAAGTTACTAAATCAAGGCAAACAGGAAGGTTTTTTGCTGTTATTAGTAATTATATCCATATAACATGCAGACTCGTTCGTTTCAACAACACCGTAAGTCACAGAACGACCTCAGATAACCTTGTGTAATTCATGCGATTGTGAAGAAACAACTAATAATAAGATTTTTTACTCCTAAAATAATTTGATTTTTTTTTTCTAACTCGGTGTTTTTTTTCTAGCTAGATGCTTGGCGGTTTCACCCACGTATGAAATCTAAAAACAATGAAAAACAATTTCTAAAAACATTTAGTTTTTGTAGACGTTATTACACATCTAGGGTCCCCGAGTAATATTTCCTCGACAAACGACATCCATTGTCTGTTAGTCACTTACGGCCTTATATTTATATGTATGCAAATATTCTCAACTAACTAAAAACTGGCAGAAAAACGAATGAAGTGTAATATTTTTGTCTTTTTGGTATTTGGTAAATCTAAATTTTAGTGTAAACTTTTATAATAATTAAATGCTAATCGCAGAATCAAAATCGGGCAATTAAAAGAAAAACCAAAGAAGAAGAGGCAGAAGAAGTTACTCCAGGACGTTGCAAATTTATTTACTGCTGGAAATGTAACCCAAGGTGCCATGACGTCAGGCAGACTGCCGGTAGTAAAACTCACGCCAAATACCTATGCAGTGGTATAAAGACATGCTACGACGATCCCACATTTGGTATATTAAAATTCTCAATTAGCTACAATCTTCTATAGATCATCACAAGGGCATTAATTAATATGCTATTTCTCTACTGTTAAAACAAAATAAATAGTCCTCATGAAATAGAAGTTTCAATTTCTTTACAAAAAAGCTGTTTACCGCTCTAACCACACGTATGCTTCTTTGTTCACTTCATTCTTTTCGACAGTAGTAGCCTGGAAGGCGGTGCCTCCCTATGAATGTAACATGTTGTGAATTTGAAAACCGTTTAATTACGTGGTTAATCTCGAATTTGTGATTTAATGCGCATGATACACACGGACCCCTAAACGGCTCAAAAAAATTATTGCGATATTATTAAATCCAACGAATTAACGATATGTTTTGTATCTTGTAAAAGTCAAAGATTAAAAACAATCGAATGTGTATGTTAATAATAATTATTGTTAATTAATAATAATTTAATAATATAAATCATCCAAATATTTGCCAGTTTAATCAGAGAAGATAATAAAATACGATTTAAGATACATTTTTACACAAACTAAATAAAGGTCATTTGATTTATATAAGAAAAAGTTTACCTCTTTAGCAATTTTTCTAAATTCATAATTATAGGCTTTGTTCATAGGGGGGAATCTAGGTCCAAACCTCTCGTCATTGGGTCCATGCAAAGGATTGTTGCCAGCAAAACCCATCATGTTGATGTGATCTCTTACAATCATCAGATCACCAATTTTGTAGTTAGGGTTAAGGCCGCCTGCAGCGTTAGTCGCTATTAAAATTTTCACTCCCAACAGTTTCATCACTCGCACTGGTAGACAACACTAGAACAATAAAATTACGGTTAAAACAAAAAACCCTATTTTATTTTCCTACCTATGCTTTGAAAAGCTTTGAGAAGCTACTTCAGCTTTACCTAACGTGTAGGTGAGCTCACGGGGCTCAAACCGAAAGTGTTGCTAACACTGGCTCTAGCAAGAGCAGTGCTTCGCAGAATCTACCACCGGATCGGAAACGCGACCCACTGAGAAGGTCCGGCGAGAAACTCAGTGGACTATGTCTATGGGCAAAAATCCCTGTGATCTAACCGAAGTTGCGTTGTCCAAACTTCATTAAATCTCTTGATGAACGTTTCTTAAATTATAATTTGATTTACTCTTCCTGCTACGTTATATCTTTTTTAGATTTGTGTTTCTTCGTACGCTGTATAGTGTTCGTGTCGTTGCCCCCGGTCTCGGCTGAAAATCAGACCATAGATTGTTGACATGTAACCAGCATTATGTTGCCGGGGATTTATGGTGAAAGGCGATCGTACTTATTTATGTTTATAAAGATTTGTTAAATGTGTTTTTTTACCATAAGCAAAGTTGTGTCAATTGCCTAATTCCAAATGAACCGGATTTTTTTTCAATTACAGAAGCTAGCTTAATTAAAATAATATTTTTTGTATTTTGTAACGTTGCAATGCTTTATCTTGTATCTTTAAACGAGCAATTCTTGTATATAAATATATAATATTTTTAATCTGAATCTCGGAAACGGCTCCAACGATTTTCATAGAATTTAGTATACAGGGGATTTCGAGGGCGATAAATCGATCTAGCTACGATTTATTTTCAGAAAATGTTGTTTTATTCGTGTTTTCAATAATCAATTTTATCAATAATTTTGATTTTTTCTTTAATTTAGTTTAAAATTAGTTTATATTATTTTTTATTCTGTCGGTAAGATCGAAAAATATTATTCATATTTCATCATTTTATCAATATGTAGTTCGTATTTAAATATAATTTCTAAAAAACACAATGTATCAAAAAAAATGCGGATCAAAGCTCGGTCATTATCTAGTAGTTTTTAACCCTTAATTTGGCTCAGTCCGCTACAACGAACAATTAAATAAATAAAATCTGGTGGGTCTATGAAAACTTCTATACGGCTTAAATATCTAACAAAAACTTTAAAATATATTTCTATTATGGTAAAAAAAATAAAATTCTTATTTGGTAATCTTGTATCTGTGATTTTGAGACAAAATGTCGACGAAGCACAACCCATCCGTTTTACTCAAAGTATTTATAATTTTTATAAAGGTTTTACTAATAAATGTGCACGTTTGTTTACTGAAATAACTTTGTAATGTTGTAATTTATTGAATCACTTATAGATCTTGTAATTTTGTATGGTTGTGGTGACTTTTTTTACTAAAAACAATGTTTGTCCGCCACAGCGAACAAAATCAATTTCATAAATAGTTAGTGTTTGATTGATTTGTCCGCCACAACGAACATTGCCAAAGTTATTGCGGGCTTAACATGTATTGGGATGATTACTAATATTCTACCTAATTATTAAATTTACATATTTATTTATACTTATTTGCAAGAAATTGATGCAGGTAAGGAAAAGGAAATGAAGAAGAAGGAGAGAGGTGCATTTTTAGAATCGACATGCGATAATAACTGCCTATCTGTTGTTCGGTGGAACGATAATAAGGCTGTTACGTTTATAAGCACATGCGTAGCTAGGAACCCCATCGAAAAAATTCAAAGATATTGTAAGGACTCGCGAAAAAATGTTGACGTGCAATGTCCTTAAATTACGTCAATATAACAGGCATATGGGAGGTGTAGATCTTGCAGACATGCTGATATCATTGTACAAAATAGCTTTCAAAAGTAGAAGATAGTACTTAGGTATTTTTGCACAAATAGTTGATATTTGCCTGAATAATGCTTGGCTTGTTTATCGAGGCCAGCGCGGGCTTGGAAGTAAAATTTCCCTAAAGGTATTTAGACATCTGGTATATGAAAACCTATTTTTGCCCAATCGAAGTGCCAAAAGAATGTAAGAGAACACTCAAAAATAAACAAACCTTACGCAGCAAGACCTTCAAGCCCTGTAAAATATGATGATGTAGGTCATTTCCCGTCAATTATGGATGAAAGACGTTGCAGATATTTGCCAGAAAAAATGTTTTTTTTTGTATTTATACATTTTGTATTTATACACATTACTGACATTGCGTTAAAATGCAATGTCAGACTTTGTTTTGTAACTGGCAAAAATGCCAGAAACTGTTTTCTTAATTTTCGTACTAAATTAGATGTGTAAATGTCATAACTAAATACTTTTTTATTATATCTGCCCACAAAATACTTCAACTTTTTATTTACCGCATATTTAGTACTGTCCGCTACACCGGACATGTATATTTCATTCCGATAGAGGCACCCGTCACGTGCGGACGTGCTCATCGTCCACTCGATCGCCCGGTCTTTGTTCGCCCGGCTTTTGTTAGCCCGGCCATTGTTCGCGCGGCCTGTGTTCGTGATACATCTGCCGACCAAGTGTGTTTCCTGGAAGCTTTTATTTGTTTTGCTTTAGTTATTTTTGTGTTCGTGGAACATTTGCCAACAAAGTGGTTTCCTGCAAGTATTTATTTGTTTTGTTTCTTTTTGTAATTTCTGTTTTGTTGTGCTTTTTCTTTGTCCTGTAGTAATCGCGCCGCATTGCCACCTGTGTTCAATAGAACCGCTCAGGTCCGAAAAGTTGGGGCCTCGCCGCAGGCGAGTGTTTTCAAGACCCGGGGCCGCCCCACCTGGGTACTCAGCGATCATGGACGCTGTATTCGCGGAATTCCTCCGACTTCGCCACCCACAGCTCGCCTCAGAGTTTCTGGCCTTCAAGGCCAATCACACTGTGAGCCCTCTCGAGGACTCCGCCGCGCTCGCTGCTCCTGCGTCGCCTGTACCTGCGTGCAGAGCTTCTGCATTGAGCACCGCAGCCTCTGTCGTGCCTGCCGCTCCCGTGTCGCCTATACTGGCGAGCAAAGCTGCTGCGTCGTCCGCCGTGACCATCGTTTCAGCTGAGCGATCATCCGCGGCCTTCGTCGCGCCCTCTAAAACACCTACACTTGCTCGTAGGTCGCCTGCACCCGCCTCCTCGTGCTCCGACTCTGACTCGGACATGGAGGTCGACCTCGCCCCCGCCTCATCGACGGATGGATTCACCCTGGTACAGAAGGGTAAGAAGCATGCCGCGGAGTCTCGAGCTCCCGCGGCCGCTAAAATTAGCAAAGCCGTGAACGCGTCNAAAAAAAAAAAAAAAAAAAAAAAAAAAAAAAAAAAAAAAAAAAAACATGTATATTTATGACTCCTTCATAACATAATTGTCAATGGTCGCCACAGCGGACATTGATTATCTCAAAAATGGGAAATGATATATTTTATTTATTTATTTTACAGAGATCCTAATATCTATACAGACATAGGAAAATAACAGAAATTAAAAAAAAATTGAAAAAATTTCTTGCCAAATTAAGGGTTAAGTGACTTCAACAATAGGAAGATGTTCTAAAATAAAATGATTTTTTTGTTTGTTATCTTTTTTTCTAGATGTGATCCCATTGAAATTATATCACGATCTGACCTGCATGTAATTTTTGAGCTATGGTTAATAATGCACATTTAGTTGACTTCGACTACATTGATGATATTCGCAGTTTATTTTGTTTTAGTCGGCTTTCTTCTTTGTTAAATTTTTGTATTATGTATTAAATAGGTTTTAAATTACAAATTCAATTTCTATTCCAAGGTTAGATTTGGTTATTATTCTTTTAAAATTAAGAAAAGTTAAAACAACAAAAAAAAAGAAGAAAACGCAAAAAAATTGTGACATGGAGACATTTAATTGACATATATTTGATGTTTATAAAATTGAATTTAAAGTTAAAAACATATATAAACATATACGAGTATATGGCATATGATCGTATATGAGTCGTCTATTATCAAAGGCGGCAATCTGTGCATTTGGACAAATTTTTTTTATTGATATGTCAATACAGATTTATTTGAATATAATCGTCTCCTTCAAAGAATACGGTTCAAAACCTGCATTAAATAAAGGTTAATAGTTATCCTGTTATTTATCTAAGATGTCGTTCCGAAGAGTTTTGTGACTGCCAATGGAATACAAAGTCAATAATTCGTTTTTCTGATTTACCAATCATTGTCCAAAAGTCAGATTGCCGCCTTTGATAATAGTCGACGTATATTGTTGTATCTGATGGCTACCTCGGATGTAATACGCTTGTAGTAAACAAAAATATAACATTGACCCTTTCTTCGCATACGGATCTTCTAGAGTAATCTAATATCAACGAGCCCTACTTTGACACTCGATAAGACGTCATTATATTTATAAATATTTGAACTAGTATCATTGAGTATTTTAACGAAACTTCCAGATCTATATTATGTCGAGAGGAATCTTTAGACGCAGTTGTGTTTGTATTTATTCGTGTTTTTATCTCGCGTCCTTTAACCCCCTATTGTAATGTTCATAACAAACGATAACCTCATCGCTGGGGTTCGCGTATCTTTGCATCAGCCGTGAAGACGTTGTGTATTTAAAAATTAATATTTACATATTAATTTCTGTGCACCGATTGCATCATTGATTACAGATTGACGTATTGATTTGTTGTTTTCGTCAGATAACGATTTGATAATACTAGTGGCCCCGCAGTAGTCGAAATTCGACTATAATTAATTGAAATTATAAGTTTAAACATTATTATGGTTNGTATCTTTGCATCAGCCGTGAAGACGTTGTGTATTTAAAAATTAATATTTACATATTAATTTCTGTGCACCGATTGCATCATTGATTACAGATTGACGTATTGATTTGTTGTTTTCGTCAGATAACGATTTGATAATACTAGTGGCCCCGCAGTAGTCGAAATTCGACTATAATTAATTGAAATTATAAGTTTAAACATTATTATGGTTATATTGTCAAACACTATTATAATTCGATAATATAATCACAGTATTCGCCAAAACTGCACTATAGATCAATAATATTAAAGACAAACAATATACATCTATTTTCAATTCGATCACAGACTCTAAACTAAACAATAAAAAAAGTTTCCCAATTGACAGTAAACAAAGAGTATATTTTTATGTATGTGTTGTTTCAAATACATGGTAGTGTGTGTAATGTTTTCTTTATTGATTTAAAGGATATATTATGCATTATTCAAAAAAAAATTAGCATTGTGCACTCCTTCTCTATATTCTCTATAAGTGTGAGAAATTTCATACTCCTCCGTCCGCGCAATTTTCGTAAAAAGGGGTACAAAGTCTTCGCTTTACGTATTAATATATAGATGTACATTACCTTCCACAGTGGATATCCTTCGTAGTAATGAAAACGGCCCTGCATAGCAACGACGGACACTCCTTCTATGTGACCGAAAACAAGCTGACCATGATGACCCTCCACTGTGCTTATGGGAAAGTTTGGAATATCTTCGTATGGTATTCTTACCCCGTCTGTTATACTTTCTGCTAGTGAACCTATAGACAAATAGAAAGTTAAGTTAAAATGAATTTCATCAAAATTTAATTCATACAATGATAACATCACAAATGAATTTCCTGATGTTTATGATTGATATGTTTCGCATATTAAGTTAATATTATTTTATTTCACGTTATTCAGACAAACTAAAAATGATATTAGCAAGTATATTTTTTTTTATCTACCTATGCTGATAGCCTTGAGAGGATATTTCAGCTTCGCATGAACTTGTAGGTGAGCTCGCGGCGCTTAAACCGGAAGTGTTGCTAACACTGGCCCTAGCGAGAGCAGTGCTTCGCAGAATCTACCACCGGATCGGAAACACGACCCACTGAGAAGATCCGGCGAGAAACTCAGTGGGCTAAAAGTTTACATGTCACTTTTTCTTAGCACTATCCCAATTTGATTTGTTATGCATCCAATTGTGTTCCTTTGATGTAATGGAATGGTTCGTAGCCTTTTTAAGGATAATATCTCTGTCACCCATTATTAACATAATTCAAGAATTTAATCATCTCCTAATTTTATTTTGAATGTCTGTTCCAACTTCATTATAAAAGCTTAATTTAACGATTTCACAATACGATCGAGACTTCGTGACTTGTGACTCGAAGTGGAGTCGACATTTTATATCTGTGGTCTTCAATAACTACTTGACATCAAGTGGCCCGAGAGCAACTATGCCCATTTAATGCAAAAAAAAAAAANTTCAAGAATTTAATCATCTCCTAATTTTATTTTGAATGTCTGTTCCAACTTCATTATAAAAGCTTAATTTAACGATTTCACAATACGATCGAGACTTCGTGACTTGTGACTCGAAGTGGAGTCGACATTTTATATCTGTGGTCTTCAATAACTACTTGACATCAAGTGGCCCGAGAGCAACTATGCCCATTTAATGCAAAAAAAAAAAATTGGTTTATGTCTGATGAATAATATCTACCCTCTTTCCAATACGAACCCATCCCAGAGCCGCAAATGATGCCAATGTTCGGTTTCTCTGATATTCTCGACAGCAAGAAATTTGCGGTCTCCACTAATGTTTCATAAGAATATCTGGAACAAAACAATATATTTTTTTACGATTAGCGCTCTTCACTATTAAATACGTCAGACGGTCGAATGTCAAGCTGTAAATTATGTGTGTTCGTAAATTAATACCAAAACTGATTATGTACTCCGCTTTTAGAGATCTACAGCTTACTTAAACTTTTTGTATGTATTATTTATTACAGCTAAATATCGTTTATCACAGCAGTTTCACTGTCAAACAATAACCGTCATAAAAATAAAAATGGTGAGATTGATCATTTTTAATAAAAAAAAATATAATTTTTAATTTTTATTTTTTTTGTAATTGTATGTGGGATATAAAATTTACTGTGTACATAATAAATTACACGTAACGACTTTACGAAATATGTATTTCTAAAGTCGTTTCATTAATATGCTGTTCAAAATTGAATTCATATTTTTCTAAAAGTTTTTTAAATATAGTTGATATTAATATATTTTTTTGTTTATTTGTATTTTTAGATTGAAGTATTTTATGTTACTGACACCCACTATAAATCATAGTATCAAGCTATGATAGTAATTCATTAGAAGCATCGCTAGACCACGATAAGTTTTTGTATATTTTAATAATCTATACAAATAAATAAAATTGGAGTGTCTGTTTTTAATCATAAAATAACCACTTTTTACTAAATGCGTAAATATTTATATCACAATACATATACCTAAATATTATAAATTCGCTAGTGCTTAATAAAAGTATTGTTAAGAGTAACACAAGTAAAATCGATCTTAAATTTAAAATAGAAGAGTTGCAAATTTATTTGCAACAAAACAAACAGCAAAAACTATTATTTCGTATGATACAGAATAATAACAGGTTGTTTTGATTGATTTCTCTCGAAACAAGCACGAGGGTTATCACGTGCAAGGCTATCTTGTTTCTTTTTAATATATATTCATTAATTGACACAGTAAAAGGTTCTAGATCTGATTAAGTTCGAATATAATTTAGTGACATTCAATCAAGGTACGCCGCGTTTTACGCAAAAAACAAAAACAAAATTGAAATAGAGGATAGATTTGTCGTACAAATACATATTATGAATCATATTAATTTAAATGTTACGACACATTGTAATTGAATTGGTAAAATTGATTAAGTAATTAACAACACTCAGAGAAGTACGTTTTTTGATAGATATTCTGTTTCAAATGGGAAAACCTAATGTGCTGTTCACCTTTCCTACTTATAAACACGCCATTTGTTTTTCTCTGTTTTCGGGTTAATGGAAGAAAAATAATGGGATGAGTTAAAGCGAGTTAAGCTCGCGCCTCTAGAACAGCATAGGCACATAGGAGTCTACATAGTAACTCATTACACTAATCTAATATTAAAAAAAATAATCTAATATTAAAAAAAAAGACACACCCGCTGAGTTTGTTGCCGATTCTTTTCAGGACGAAGGCTAGTTTTTGTGAATTGGCGGTAGTTCTTTTGACGTTCAACAAGTATGTACTTTCATTTATGTTGAATAAAAAAAATTGATTTGTTTTGATTACCATAGATGTTTTACGGTAAATACTTTAATTAATTTTGTCTAAAACAGTATAAGACATACTGTTGCTACGGAGTTAAATTTAGGAAAACAATTGTTTTCTCTTTTATAATTTTAAATATCCTTCATCATTGAAACATTATTAGAAATTGAAACATCATCCTTCATAATTAGAATCAAAATTGAACTAGCCGACTAACGATCGAAATGACTGACGATTTGCATAACTAGATACTTAATACCGCATTTATAATCTAAATATGAAATAAATTTTGTTTGTATCGATTTTTTTCAATCTGCAAATGTAATAAATTATCTAATACATATATAAAAAAACCTTCACTTGGATACAACATTGCACTGCTTTACCTTGTTTCATGGTGAATCACAGAGTATTTAGTATGAAATTTAATCACAATAAACATTACTCAGTAGTAGGATTTATCGTGTTTAATATTTCCAAAACAACATTATAATCTTTCAAATAATCAATGGTATTAAAGGTTCGGACTGCTGATTAATTAACCACCGAACTCAGATTAAACAGATAAAACTCTTTCCAAAAATAGAGTAAGATTATGTTTTATTGTACACAAAAATAAGGAAAAATAAAATATAATATAATAAAATATTAAATTCGAGGTCTTTTGGCTAGTAGTAATCTTTTGAAAACAGAAAACCGTGAGGAAAAACTTCATAGATTATAATTAACTAATAATAACTTATTATACAGTATTTTCATTCGCTTCGAATTAAAAAAATATAGGTACTTAAAAATTCACTGCTCCTTTTCCCTATAGTTTTTCAAATAAATCTGGAGTGCATAATTGTATTCTATTGTATTGTATTTTATTGTATTCTATTGTATTGTATTCTATTCTAGGTATATTCGACTGAATGAATTAAGGACATACATATCAAAGGAACAATCTATGACTGTTTTTTTTTCGTCGTTTAAGTCGAAGGTCATTTAAGCCTGTTCCCTTTTCTCTCTAATTTTATTCACCCATTTAAACTGAAACTTTAAATTGAATCTTGAACCAGGAGATAGTATGTATTGCGAAGTCAGTTCGAGTTACTTAAAATTCGCTTTTAACGCAAAAACCTGAACCTAACTTAAATTCATTAGCAAAAAAATTCACAAACTGCTTATGTAAATTATACCTATAATATCTGATTTTCCGTAAAGCGAATGGTAACAAACGCTCCCAATCTTCATTAAAACATTCATTAAAACAGAAATAGGACGTGATGTTATTATCATAAAATTTAAAGTACTCACCAACGAATAAATACATATACTTAATATTATCTCTAAAATCTAATTTAAAAAGTAAAACTTGTTTCATGAAGTATAACTATGCAAAATAGCATAGATAACCACCTAAAATATGTAATTATGTTAGCTGGTTATCGAAAACGAAAATGCTAGAATTTCAATGCCGCTACCCAACGTGAGATAGAAAGGCAAAGTTCTACTAATACGGATTTTTGTTAAAAACGTTATTTTCATTTCATAAAATTAGTCAGCCAAATTCTGAATATTTTACTTGCTCAGACATGAATAAGCTGAAAACCTTGAAACCTGGTTTTGGTGTATTATTAGTCAATTAATAAGTAAGGATGTCTAAAATGTTTGAAAACGTCAAGGTCAGAATTATGGGGTCGCGCGAAAGACGACTCGGCGTCCACAGCCATAGATAATATACTTCATATTTAAGTCCCCGACTAACTCATCAACCGATCTCCTACATTATTTGATTTATCACGTCACTTTACAACTAGCCTTTCGTACTGGTACTCCTACTTGAAAATAATCCACAAAATCAAATGTATGAAATATTCACATATCAATGAGATATAAACAGTCTTATTCGGCGGTAGGTACCACCGCCCTGCCTATATCTACCGTGAAGCAGTAATGCGTTTCGGTTTGAAGGGTGTGGCAGCCATTGTAACTATACTGAGATCTTAGAACTTATATCTCAAGGTGGGTGGTGCATTTACGTTGTAGATGTCCATGGGCTCCAGTAACCACTTAACACCAGGTGGGCTGTGAGCTCGTCTACCCAACTAAGCAATAAATAAATAAAAACTACATATGGGCCGTGTTTCTGGTTCTGTTTCTGTCTTTAACAATCTTAGGGGCTCGTCAAAGCTGGTATGACAACATTCCGCTTTGATTCACGGACGACCGGATCGAACGATTTGTACGAACCTGACCATCACGCGATAAGGTCAATAATAAAGATAGTAAGCCGTAATCTGTAATACTGAATTTAGAAATGATTAATAATCCCAAGGTTACCGAAGGGCTTCACCTACACAGTAGCAAAGATACTGGTATCTTATTAAAAAGTATTTCCAGGTAATATAGGTATTAATCTATTTACCTAATCAACGTTTGGTTACTTTAAGAGTTTATAATCGATAAAGACACTTAACAGGACAAGTGACGCAAGTTAAAGACAAATAAAAGAAAAATGTCAAGAAACAGATATTTAATGAAAACGTCATCACTTTCTGTTCAAACAAATCGAAACAAATTTAAGGTTATTTAAATTTATAGAATTAATTGCAAATGAAAATAAATGAAACGATAATATTTTCTAGGAGCGTTATTTCGCACATTTAGACTAATTGAATGATTGAACTCAATATCACTTTGCACGATGTTGGCATTCAAGGATAGACTCTAATGGACACATTTAATGATTCGCATAACCTATTGATAGTCGTCAATTAACCCCTGTTTATGTTTTATCAAACTATTTCATGTAAATAGATGTGTTATATTCTTTTTCACATTCTTTCGCTACATCATAAAAAGAAGGTTTGATTTACAGACAAAAGAAACTATACAACTGAAGTTAAATATAAGGTCGCTTACATTTAAACTTTAGGTGTGAAGGGTTTTGAAATAATTATTTACACCGAATTATTTCATTTATTGATTTTACGATAAAATAATTATTTATTTGAATTACAATTTAAAAATTAACAGGATGAAAAATTAAATAAACGAACCCAGTTTTTTCATTTCCATTACAATCAGATCCGATTTCCGGCAAGACCTTCTGCGTGACCAAACAATTTTTCTCCACGATATCGTTCGCGTTTATAGGTGCCATTACCACACTTAGTTATCGAAAAATTAAAGCGAAAAATAAATAGAACGATGTTCAGTGCCCGATGTCTGAGTTACCAATGAACTGGTCAGCGCTCTCCGGCAATTTTATATTTCGATTCGATCACTGCGAGCTATCATACATCGTATGATCGCTTCAGCTTTGAAGTATGCTTTCAATAAAATACGTACAATTTTAAAACAGTTTTTATTCTTATTCATGATTAAATTTTATTTGTCTTTTCTGTTTTTAGTTCGTGGAGGTGTGCGCTGTTCAAGGTCACTCTTTACGTTATCACAAAGATAATTTATTGGATATTGTTTACGCAAAACAAACATGTTTATCGAACAGAACATATGGAATGTTTATAAGTGTCATTACTTTAATATTTTTTTTTACTCACTGGTTGCCTTTCTGCTGTTTAAATATTTTTTTATTTATCTATTCAATAAAATTATAAATAAACAGTTCAATTTACTTTCACCTTATTTTCCATTAAATCGTATTTAGTGAAATTCGTTATTCCTTAACCATTCCAAAGTAAAAACATTTGTCTTTATACTTTTATTTTTATTTCGTAACATATTTTCGTTGTTGCGAAATCTACGCTATCTCTATGAGATCGTAATTTGTTACTATCCACACATGCTAACCAACGAAACCAGTTTGGTAAAGGTTCAACTGTGAAAAAGTAAGATTATTTCTAGCAAACTAGCGTCTCTTTACACAAAATTCCACCAATTATAAAGTCATTTTCGAAAAATCGCGGCAATAAACGTTATTTGGCAGCCATGATAAGGTCACAATGTGATTATTCCCTCACCCAGCTTGAGACTTCGGGTCGAGGTCTTAATTCTACTGAAAAACATTTCAGTAGAATTAGGCAGAATGTCATCTCACAGGCTCTCACAATACATTCAGCAACCAGTTAAACGTCTCTCACACAATCTCTATAAGTCTTCAAAGTTACGCTAAGCCCGTTGTTGCATTAAATGCCAATAACGTATGACTGAATTTTGTAACAAGAACATTATTTGTGTTTTTTTTATTGTAGATGAGCCTACGGTCCATCTCACGGGGTTACCGTAGCTTATGGACTTCAACAATGCGAGCGACATAGCCAAGCCGCTGCCTACCGCTGAGTACTCTCCAAAAATCACCTAGCGCTGAATAAGCACCGTGGAAGGAAATTAATTCCAAAGCCGGATGGTGCGTAGCAAAAAAGATCTCTCTCGCAATGTGAATGAACCCATTGGTTCTAGATAACATAGATGAACTCTGCTTCCATGGAGAACGAGGCGATTATATAATAGTGAAATAGTTTCGGGATGTGAGATTTTGGGTTATAAAAACAACTTTTGAAATTGATATGCAATAAATTTCAAGATTCTATAATTAAAAACCTAGCTTTTTGGATTCCACTTCATTCGTTAAGCTACTAAAATTTTCATTATCTCTTTTGAAAATTTTAAATTGAAATAATTTCAACGGAGTTAACTTCTATATAATGTCCCTATAAAGACTAAATAGGTTATGTGTGTATTCAAATGTAAAGTGGTTGGTTAACAAAAGGTTTTGACGTGCAGCTCATACCGATTGTATCTAAACAGGCTCATAAGAAAAATTATACTATTGGAAAAATAACATTTCTGAGGCGTTTGTGAAAGGGTTTAGTTATGTTGGCATTAATTGTTCTTTGTTTTATTTTGTTTTTCTATATCATAAGCCGACGACATCGTGGGCTTTGTTATCCACCTGGTACTTCCATTTGTTAAATAAAAATATATTGGTGGAACGTGGAATTTAACACAGTAAATTAAAATTTAAATAAAAACATATTTTTAGGGCCTACTCCACTGCCAATTGTAGGAAATTTACTTTCGGTACTTTGGGAATCTAGGAAGTTCAAGTGTCACCACTTGATATGGCAATCATGGTCTCAGAAGTATGGGAATCTATTGGGCTTGAGACTTGGATCCATCAATGTGGTAGTGGTAACAGGGATAGAACTCATCAGAGAAGTTTCGAATCGAGAAGTGTTTGAAGGAAGGCCTGATGGGTTCTTCTATACCATGAGATCGTTTGGAAAGAAACTGGGTAAGTGCTCATTGTACTCAATAATATCTACTCTTCTTCGAAGACTTTCGAAGTTACCAACTAGTCATGATTTTTTTACTCTACATTTGTACTTTCGATATTATGCAATAAGATTAATTTTAGCCCCCGTAGGTATCCTAAAATTCCTAAAATTATTAATAAAATGCACTCTATTGAGGTTCGCTTTTTTGGTTTGCTTAGTATTAAAAACTCTGTTCAGTATCAAAACCTAATTACAAGGAATTTTATTATACTCCACAATTTATTTTCAATTATATGCTCGCACTTGCACGTATACTAGCTATGTAAATGTTAAAAGGTGTGGTAACACGATTCCAAAAGATAAAAACACCTGATTTATTATGTTTTTATTTTATTTTTATTAAAATATTGCAATTTATGTACATTTTATAAAAAAAAAACAAATGTTTTGCATTTACACGTATTTTAGAAAATGCTAGATTATTGAATTATTATGCACAGACAGACTACGTGCGATTACAATTTGATGTTTTTTTTGTTTGTTTTATAAATGGCTCCAAATGGTTACCTAACTTTGATTTGCAGTCAGGCAAGTTTTTAAAGTTAGTGAACGTTCACCTGTAATTAAATAGCTTAATCAATTTAAGGATTAAAATTTACAAACGAAAAGTAAGTTACAAAAATTCAATTTATCTTAATATGATCTGTTCTAGATTCACACTTCTTTAAATTGTTAATGCCAAAAGGTATTTGTTCAATAAAGTTGTACAAAAAAAAAACCTGTAATTACGGTTTATTTTTGGGTCACTAATTATACACATTTTTATTACGTACATAGAAGGTCGTTGATCTGTCAGAACCGCGGAGACTCGAAGCTTCTATATATACAAATTGCTTCGAAAAAATTGTCTCTGAGGCTGTAAGAACTAATATCAATAGTGTATTAGGAAAAGGCTAGCTCTAATTTGATTAAAACAGCGTCTCAAGATCACTTTTAAATGTTAATAACATGTATGTACTATTTATTTATATATTTTTAATTTAACTACTTTTTCGATTAAACTACGATTTAACTACTTTAATTACTATATATTTTTTCACCTTTTAAACCTTCTCTGGACTTACACAAATAATTTAAGACCAAAATTAGACAAATCGGTCCAGCCGTTCTCGAGTTTTAGCGAGACTAACGAACAGCAATTATTTTTTATATATATATAGAGATATTACGTTTCAGTATCTAAAATAAGTAATTTGGCTAATTATGTAATAATATCCTGCACAGTAAAACTTGTTTCAAAAGATCTCGCCGCACTAGGTGTTTCACTCGCAAAAAACTCAAATCAGATTTCGAATAAACACTTGATTACCAGATCCAAATTAATAGTGAATAATAATTTAGAATAGAAACATCTATCTTCTTTGCTATCGCTTGCCTAAATGCGCAAGAAAAATTGCATTCCATAAAAATAATGTTAATTTGTCGTTTTTAAAAAAGTAATTCATTAATATAAAACAGCAGCGGAGTTTTTTTCATTACTTCTTATCTTGAACGTTTGTTACATTTAACCGTATGTATCATTTATTTTCTCCGTCAATTATTATGCCGAACATTTTTTTTTCTACCGATAGCCGATAGCATAAAAGGCTATTTCAACTACGGATGGACGGGCAGTTGAGCTCACGGGCTGAACCTGAAAGAATCTGCCAAGCAATCTGCCTTAGAAAGAGCAGTGCTTCACAGAATTTACCACTAGTACGGAACCGTGACCCACTGAGGAAATCCGACGAGAAATTCAGTGGGTTGAACTGAATGATATCAATTATCAATAGCCAACAGACGTTCTGTTGGACAAAGGCCTCCCTTAAGGGTTCGACACAATGATCTGTGTCTTGCTACACATCCAGCGCGATTATATAAGATCTACAATTAGAAATAATACAGTTTTATTACATTAATGTAACATCGAAGTCAATTAAATATGTATTATTAAGCATAATAAAAAATATACTACTCAGATCCTAATAAATTTTAAAAGAGACCAAACGAAAAGTCCTTCCATTCTAATAAAAAAAAATCATCAATATCGGTTGAGTTGGATAAAAGATACAGTAAAATTAAGAACCTCCCTCTTTTTTTAAATACGGTTAGGCAATTATTTTGAATTTGAATTTGTAACATAAAATATCGTCAATGTCTATTGCTAGCCTTTATTATTTACAACTATTGTGTTCTGTGTAAGTATACAGCGGATTGGCTGTCTCCCTGGCATTGGTGACGTCCATGATAAATCACTCTGGAGACACAGGGATCCGGTGGGCGTGCTCCCCTATCTATGAAGACAATAATAAAGGAGATGTATTTCTAGAAATTTCTTTGGTAGCACGTGAAACACAAACTACTAGTTCTATTCAATGATATAGTGTTTATGCATTATGTATAGATTTCAAAGTTCGCGTATTCTATTCTACATCTTATTTCACTTCAATAACGATAGCTGGGAATACAACCAAGAATGTAATAATTATTGCAACAATCTCACAAAAAACTCAACGAGTGTGTTGTAATAAAAAATCTAAACGAGCGCATTGCTGATAAATTTAATTTGGCCCATGGACCGGTCTGTCTTCGACGACAGTAAAAGGTTACAAGATGACTTACAAAACCAGAGAAAAACAATGTAGAATTTACAAAAAAAGTTTCGCTTCTTTTATTAGCTATTTCACAGCATCTAGACAAAACTATCTAAATCAATCTAAACTTCATATGTATTTCTTGTATTATATATAATATTATTTTATATTATTTTTAATAAAAAATATTAGAGAAACTAGCGTTCGATTTGCGTTCGAACTAGCGAGCTTATTTTTATCTTCGTTTTGCCATTAAGTATTCACTAGTTTTTAATATAACGTCTTCGTCATCTACAGGATTGGTTTTCTCCGATGGCCCAACGTGGCACAGGACCAGACGTTTCGTGCTGAAATATTTAAAGAATTTCGGTTACAACTCCCGTTTCATGAACGTTTACATAGGCGAAGAATGTGAAGCCCTCGTGCAGCTGCGTTTAGCCGATGCTGGAGAGCCGATTCTGGTCAATCAGATGTTCCACATTACAATAGTCAACATACTTTGGAGATTGGTTGCCGGGAAAAGGTTCACACTTTTTATTTAACGATTAGATATTATAATTTTTTTCTGGTGGTAGGACCTCTTGTGAGTCCGCACGGGTAGGTACCACCACCCCGCCTATTTCTGCCGTGAAGCAGTAATGCGTTTCGGTTTGAAGGGTGGGGCAGCCGTTGTAACTATACTGAGACCTTAGAATTTATATCACAAGGTGGATGGCGCATTTACGTTGTAGATGTCCATGGGCTCCAGTAACCACTTAACACCAGGTGGGCTGTGAGATCGTCCATCCATAAGCATTAAAAAAAAATTAAAAAATGCTAAGCTAATTCAACCGATTAAATCTGTAAATAAACGGACCGGCGAAAATATGTATTACTCAGTTACATAAGTTATATATATGATCCTGTTTCTCCAAATGCTGGCGGGAGACATTATATATTCGGTTTGTTTTTGTTGATTACACAGCCAGTATAGAATGAATATGAATGTAGACTTCTTCCCTAATCGGATACTCTTGGCAGAGCAGTCGTGACTGTCGATGAACAGGAGTGTGTCTAGTCGCCGTCGCTCGCTTCCAAGGCAGCCGCAAGTCGAGCGATGTTCCTCCATCGGAGGCGGCTGTTAGGATTGCGAGCACATTGTACTGCGGTGGCTTTCGTAGTGCTGGTAATGAGGTCAATCCAGCGCGTGGAAGATTGACCTCGAGGTCTTCTGCCTTCTAAACGGCCATGTACAACAAATTCTACAAGTCTCACCATGGAATCTTCCTTTCTGGAGATGTGCCCTATGGAGAATGTAGACTTTGAGCTAGATATTTTTGAAAACCAAATTAGGCATTTTAAAATATTGTACAAAAATTCATTGCATTTGCATTGCACGCATTACAGACAGAGTATAATTGGAGAACAGATACCGGACTTAAATTATTTGATGAGTCTTTCGATGTTGAAATTCGCGAATCCTCCATAGAAACTGATTTAAAATACAAATATTCTTAAAGCTAGCGATAAATAAATATAAATTATTCATTTAAATTTGAGATTGTGTATATTTTTAGATATGATTTAGAAGACCAACGACTTAAGAAACTGTGCAGTCTTGTGATGCGTTTGTTCAAGCTAGTCGATATGAGCGGAGGGATCCTTAATTTTCTTCCATTCCTGAGACATTTTGTACCAAGGCTTATCGGGTTTACTGAACTTCAAGAAATACATAACGCTCTTCACCAATATTTACGGGTAAACTTTATTTTCTCTTAATTTTAGCTTCATTTAGTTATTAATATGATTAGTTTTAGTTATTAGTCTGGCAAATTCTGGATTTGTCAAGGGAAAGGGTACTCACGAACAAATAATCAACGTAAAGCTTATCATAGAAAAGTGCTATGAATGTAACATCCCGGCTGTCCTATGTTTTGTCGACTACCAAAAAGCCTTTGATAGCGTTAGTTGGAAACATTTATAGTATGTGCTTAAGGAAATGGGCGTTCCCAAACATCTGATTCAGCCGATGAGAGCCCTGTACCTGTCGGGACAGGGATCAGTACGGATTGGCCCAGAACGGACCAAGTGTCCGAGTATTTGGATACGAGACTGTGCCACGCACTTCACTGTGCCAATGACCGACATAAGTGGCTACAAATCACAAAAAAGGTCATAGGCGGATGCATCGCGATACTCAGCAATGAGCGATCGATTGAAGGAGGAGGAGTTATTAATTAATTAGGTTTTTTTATTAGATTTTTGTTGTAAGTTAATAAGTTTCGGATTATAGAAATAAATTATTACGTTTTTCACTACTATTGACGAAGTTTCGACCACCATGAGTCCTAGTCAAGCGGCAAGACCTCCAATCGCGGAAAAGGTCTCCAAGGATAAAACGCGAACATCCTATCTTAAAAAAAATTAGGCTTTCGAATATCATTGTCGTTTTCATAAAATGAAGAACTACATAATTAGAAAAACAAGGCAAAGAGTTCAAGTGTATCAAAACAAAATCATGAGTATATAGCCGCTAAAATGATAACAACGATATTTAGTTCAAGGTATTTGCAATAATCTGCTAATAAAGTCCTGCGATGATTGGTCAATTATTCCGATAATTTTCGCCTTCATGAAATTGGAAAAAACAATTTTGGGCTCACGGTGGCTATTAACGTCATCGTCATCGACAATATTGAGATTCATATTTAGTTCAATGAGGGTGCAAGATTCTATATGATAATAATCTGTTTCCCTTTAAGATAGAAGAAGACACGGACATGCTACCTCCGCATCCTCTAGCAAAATACTACGACGTCCTATTACCAGCATTCCTTCTCCATTTTCCTTCATAATTCTCCCTTTAATTTAATTCAGGTGTATGTACACTGGTTTTCACCGTCGTCCTGTCTATTTCTGTCTATCATTTTAAATAGGAAGGAGCCACATCCGGGTTGCCAACAGCGCAGGCACCCGAACGATCGTGCTCAGCACGCACTTGAAGTGTGCCCGCATTAGGAGCACCCACGGGGCTGGGGTGGGATATCTTCTTGCGGGCTATGGCCCGTTTGCGAAAAGACCGGAGTTGGTGGGAGGCCAAGGCCAGCTTTTGCAACCCGGTCATGGCGCTCTATGATGCTGAGGAGCGCGAAAGGGAGTGGGTTTCTTCTTCAGCGCCAGGTTGGGCGGCGTAGGCGCGAAGCCTTCACACAGCTCCTGTAGAGGTCGTTGGGTGCCGGGTGCGGGGGCACCTGGTGCTTGGCTGTCGTACCAGTGATGAGGCGTCGTAAGGTGACTCCTATACGCTGCCTACGGTATATCCCCCGAGACGAGATCCTTGGGGATGTTCTCAAGGATGAAATCCCGTCCAATCATTGGAATGAGTACTGACGAAGGCGGACTGTCGGCGCACATTATGCGGCATCGTAGGTTTCGTCTATCCGGTCTGGTGGAGCTCGATGGGGCTTAGTCGGCAGTCGGTTCCATGGGTCTTCAACGGTCACGCCATAGCATTCCTCGCGTGCCTTTTTCAAAGGGTAGTGTCCTGGAAGGAATTAGAAGAAGGGGAGAACCTTGGTCTCCCTGTTCTCCCTCTTTTTTCTGGAGGAGCCGGAGACTGACATAGCCCGGTCCGTTAACCCCCTCTACCCAGCGTTAACGAAAAAGGAAGATGATACTTACTCGGTTTACAAAATGCCCTAGCACCACTGTTATTCACAATTTACATGACAAACTTACATATATAATTATATTTTATATATTAAATATTATAAATATTATTAAATGGAAAACAGGAAATAATAAAAAAACACCAAGAAAATTTACAACTTGGGGCCCCAAAGGATGTGATCGATGCTTTTCTCATTGATATGTTGGAATCTCAAGATGATAAACGTACGTATGAAAAAAAATATATTTTATACGGTTCTCCTAATGTTATAAATATCAAACTTACGTATTTAAATTTTGATCTTTGTCTATTTGAAATTAGATAATTCACAGCTTTAAGATACAATATTATTTTATTTACTTGTATATAATTTGTAGATAAACATTAATTACTTTGTATTACGTATTAAATTGTATAAAATAGATAAGGTACATAATTAAGTTCAAAGAATAATATTATAAATTACTATGTGCGAAAGCTTCTAGCGTGGTTCGATCATGTACACGATATGTCAAATACATGACCGAACAACACACCAAACCAGCAATATTTCAAAATTTTTTTTTAAATTTTTTTTTCAATCGCAATTCATAAGCATATTATGTTGTATCTTCAGTCGTGCTAACCATTCATTTTCTCACTTGCTCTCTCACCCTTTCTCTATCTCTCTCTCTCTTTAACTTAATTTTCCTTACAGATATTTACCATAAAACATATCTACATACAACTGTATTGGTGGTTTTATCGATGTCGTATTTTAGCGATGAATTTTAAAACCACATGAATAATTTTAATTTTGTCTCTTAGCAACGCTTGATGATCTACAAGTAGTTTGCCTTGATCTACTTGAAGCGGGCATGGAGACAGTTACTAATACCGCTGTATTTATGCTCCTGCACGTTGTCAGAAACGAGGATGTGCAAAGGAAACTACACCAGGAAATAGATGACATAATCGGTCGCGATCGTAATCCTTTGCTTGACGACAGAATAAGGTAATATTTTTGACGTCAGCTGTGAATCTGTGCTTTTGCGAAAAATTATACTAGTTGATCAGTAATTAAATTTAATGGATTTAAAAAAAAACATGTACATATATACTTGTACATGTTAAATATATGAACGAATAGGTATATTTCCGAATAAAATTATTTTATTTACTAATCACAAATGATACTAACCCTGATACTACTGAATTAGAATACTATACAATACAATAAGGAAATGTAGTCCATCCGGCTACATTTATTAAGATATAAAAATTCAAATATAAACTGAATTTGAAGTATGTTTTAAGAATGGTGTACACAGAAGCGGTAATTCTTGAAACTCTGAGGATATCGACTGTCGCATCTATGGGCATACCTCATATGGCTCTCAATGACGCTAAGCTCGGAAATTATATTATACCAAAGGTAAGTAAGTCCGCTTTTCCTTTTGCTCTAAATAAACAAGCGAACTCACGAACCACCCGGTGTTGATCGGTTACAGAAACCCATAGAGGTAATAGAACCCTTGAAACACAAATTCAAAGTCTCAATTGAACTCCATAAAAGCTGTTCCATTTTTTTAACCAGAACATATGATTGCTTCGCGGCAAAAATGAGCCGAATGGTGGTAGGTACACGTCTGGGCTCAGACTAAGAAAATCACAAGAAAAAAGTATTCATGTATATAGCTTTTGCTTTCCACTAAAATAAATACACAATACAATGCACTTGAAAGCACTTTATTGTAATTTGTACACTAAAATAACAACATAAAGAAAAAATATGGAAAAATTTCAACTTAAACCTAAAGTACAAAGCGTCGACTTCCTTAGAAAGCGATCTCTTCCAGGAAATATTTTCATGGAGATGATTTAGAACATTAGAAAGGTTAGCGGAAACTACGTACATAATAAAAACGTAATGCCGCCATATCATGGGGTAAAAGGCTTTTTGGGTTTAAGCAACATTTTTACAACTTTACAGGAGAGCCATTAAAATTTAGAAAAAAATATAACAAAACGTCTTCAACTATCTAAATGGAGTAAGTTCAATTAAAAACATCAAACTATTGATGCTAATACCAAATAATACGCATCTTTAATTACAAAAATTCAATCACTTATATCCATTAGCCTTTCATCCCTCGATATATATGTATGTATAAACAAATATATATATTAAATAAAAACAATATGATACACATGTGAAACAAGAACTTATATATAATGAGTACATTAATAAGAAAAACCCCGTTACCTAGTTACAATAATAAAATTTTTATAAGTCGCGATTCTTAGTTCTGACGAAATGATTCAGGGATAGATGAGTGTTATCCAAAGACCTTCTTTTTTTTTCCCTACCTTTGCTGATAGCCTTGAGAGGCTATTTCAGCGTCTCCTTGACGTGTAGGTGAGCTCACGGGGCCCAAAAAGAGCATTGCTTCGCAGAATCTACCACCGGATCGGAAATGCGACCCACTGAGAAGATCCGGCGAGAAACTGAGTGAGCTAAAGAACCACAGTCAACAAACACCCTATAACATACGTATTTTTTATGAAGGAAAGAATACTGGTGGCTCGAAGGTCTTTCCAGCTTCACCAGGACAGGTGGCTGAGCAAAGGCTCAGCAAAGAGGAACGGGATTTGCTAAAAGCTGCCCGAGTGCCTCCGAAGGAGACCTAACAACTCAAGAACAGCTGCTTCGCGAATGAACTCACTATCGGATCGGAAGCGCAACCCACTGAGAAGATCCGATTACAATCGACACCGAATTATGACTTTTCAGGAAACATTTGTCATAATCTATTTTTAAATTTAAATAAGTTTTAAACAAATGTTCACGATTGACTTCCACGGTGAAGGAATAACATCGTGCAATAAAAATCAAACCCGCAAAATTATAATTTGCGTAATTACTGGTGGTAGGACCTCTTGTGAGTCCGCACGGGTAGGTACCACCGCCTTGCCTATTTCTGCCGTGAAGCAGTAATGCGTTTCGGTTTAAAGGGTGGGGCAGCCGTTGTGACTATACTGAGACCTTAGGACTATATCTCAAGGTGTGTGGCGCATTTACGTTGTAGATGTCTATGGGCTCCAGTAACCACTTAACACCAGGTGGGCTGTGAGCTCGTCCACACATCAAAGCAACAAAATAATAATAATAATAATAATAAATTTTTTATCGAGTAGACAAGTACACGCCCCAACTAATGCCGATTACTTATTCACTGCGTTTAAAATAATAACAACATTAAACAAAAACACACACCGCTACTATTATAAGCGTAACTTGTGATGTCAAGAGCATTATCTTACAAATTTCGTAGTTCGAGATAAGATCTTTTTTCCTCTCGCTCTAATGTGGTAAGCATTTTGTCTGTTAAATTATTATTCATTGACGGAATATTCCGCATCTGAATATATATATTTATTTTGGAATCAATTTATCTAATTATTTTTAATGCAATTTGTTTATTCTTTTGGCGGAATGTATTTGGAGGTTTTAATTTATTAATGAAAACTTTTGTTTTACAACATATTTTAATATACAATACATACATTTAATATACTATAGAACATTCTCTACTCTTTACGATAAATAAAATAAATAATATATGATATTATCGATAAATAGTATAATGTCATTATTACATAAACTTATGAAATTGTACAACTGAGGGTCCTGTCTCATAAATGATATTGTCCAGACAACATTGACATAATGATGGACCCAATAAATAGTTAGGTAAGGAAAAGGATGAGAAGTATAAGAATATGTTTTACTATATTTCAGTTCCTTACATTTCACCCTTTTTTTTTGGTCAGGAGGAAATCGCCGGACTTCCGACCTCCACTGGGGAATGGAGGGCGGGGTATATCGGAGTCGAACTGACTAAAACCTCTTGTCGCTCAACAACCAATGTTCAAACCTCGCATGAGACAGAACTCATGAAAAGGCAAAGGGGGAAAGTGAAGCGCTTAGTGCGGAGCACATCTATTCCATCACCCTCCTCCTCGGGACGCCGGACCGGCGGTCGTCGGCGACCATCGATGACACAACACTCGCTAACGACAAGTCGTTTCCTATTTTTGCGACCAGAACACGGCGCCATTCCTCCCATGCGGGGCAGGCGACGAGCGTATGCTCTGCCGTGTCCAAGTCGCAACCACAATAGTGGCACTCTGCCGTCGGCTCGGCTCTGATCCGGTGCAGGAACTCACCGAAGCAACCATGCCCAGTGAGCACCTGCGTGAGCCGGAAAGTGAGGCGTCACGATTCACCCAGTCAACGAGGACTGGGCGAATCGCATCGACAGTCCTACGACCAGCCGAAGGATCAGCCAATCGCCTGGACCATGACTCCAGCACGGTACATTTCATCCTTAGGCCTCGATGACTTCGCTTTTAATTAGTCCTATATAACAAAGTTACATAAGAAGCGAATTCACATAAGAAATAATAATAGTCTTTTTTTTATTTATTGCTTAGATGGATGGACGAGCTCACAGCCCACCTGATGTTGAGTGGTTACTGGAGCCCATAGACATCTACAACGTAAATGCGCCACCCACCTCGAGATATAAGTTCTATGGTCTCAGTATAGTTACAACGGCTACCCCACCCTTCGAACCGAAACGCATTACCGTTTCACCGCGGAAATAGGCGGGGTGGTGGTACCTACCCGTGCGGACTCCCAAGAGGTCCTACCACCAGTGATTGCGCAAATTATAATTTTGCGGGTTTGATTTTTATTACACGATGTTATTCCTTCACCGTGGAAGTCTATCGTGAACATTTGTTGAGTACGTATGTCATAAGAAAAAATGGTACCCGCCTGCGGGATTCGAACACCGGTGCATCGTTTCATACGAATGCACCGGACGTGTTATCCTTTAGGCCACGACGTATATATAGGTATATATATGTATACCTTGTCCAGCCATAAGTTCTGTTACAAAAGAAAAGGCATTTTTTTTAATGAAGTAATGTAATATTATTAAAATTTATACCTACATATTTATTAAAATCTCAGCAAAAATTAAAAACAATATTCTATTCGAAATGGCCACCTTTGGCTTTAACAGCATTAACAGCCTTTGTAGTTCTAACAGCACGCGGCCAACACGTACTTTTCTGGTCTTCGACAGACGAAGTGTTATTCTGTCTGTTGATAGTACGATATACGAACATTCGGCTGAGCCCAAACTTTTGAAGTGTCTGGAATATGACCGACGGCTCTATGCTCACTTTGTGCAAGGCGATCACCGCAATCCTATTTACTGTAACACCCCATTCAATATTGTAATTTGATAATGAATACGAAAAAATATGTGAAATAGCGCAAAATCGAAAGAAGTTTTTAAAATAATATAGGTAGGTACGTTCCAAATTCAAAATACTTAAAAAGTTGAAAAAAGAAATGTTTTCATGTAACAGTGTTTATGGCCAGACTAGTTAGATATTAAAGTAATAAATATACGTAATATATATAAATAGATACGCAGATAAGTAGATAAGATATATAAGTAAGATAAAATAATGCAATAAACAAATATACGGTTCCCCGAAATAATAATATAAAACAAATCGCAATAATCAACTATCAGATATCAGTTACTAGGGAACTCAATTTTTAGGGTGATTGGAGAATTTAAAAACATTTTCGCTGAACATTTCGAACGTTCAAGTAGAGTCGCAGCTCAAGTAGAGGAACACTTTATATTATAAATTCTTTGAAATTTACGATACCGCAATGATAATTATTAACAGACTAGCTGACCCGGCAGACTTCGTAGTGCCTCAATCGATAAATAAAAGACACATCAAGGTGACACATCATATAGGAAAAACAAAATTGTTTGTTTTTATATAATTCCGAGCTTTTTTTATATTTTCTCACCTTTTAAACCTTCCCTGGACTTCCACGAATAATTCAAGACCAAAATTAGCCAAATCGGTCTGGCCGTTCTCGAGTTTTAGCGAGACTAACGAATAGCAATTCATTTTTATATATAGAAAAAAAGATATTTCGCAAATTGTTGAAAAATACAGGATTTAGGCATTTCTAATCGGAACCGAGAGTGTATTACAGTAATTTCGTTTTAAAAATGCCATCTATCAAATATAAATCGAACATCAAAATACGACTAACCAAATTTTATACAAACCGATATGTTTCTCGAAGTGCCTCAGAATTTATACGAATTTCATCATTCGGTAAACGTTAAGATAATGATTGACGTAATCGCTGAGGGTTCACTCGTTCTTTCCGGAATTAATTCGAACAAATAATAATAAAACAACATATTATTCGGAAAGGATTGTTAATAATGTAGTTACATTAATTTTAGGGGACTTTTATTTTATTGTCACTGTACGAGCTGCATCACGGACCACATTGGAAAGATCCAGAAACATTCCGACCGGAACGATTCCTGACTAAAGAAGGCAACATCTTACAAGACGAGTGGCTCATACCTTTTGGAATCGGTAATTCTTATAACTATAAATTAAATAAACAAGTAAATATTTCATTGAAGTCTTCAATCTTACATCTCTTGAAGTTTTCTACAAGAAATTGAGAGCGATATGATATTTTTATAATAAAATTATTCTTCTTTTTATCACATTTTTATTTATCAATAAATACGCAATTTCTTACTTGATATTACTCCCTATTAATATTGCTTTTATTGTCATAATTTTCTGTATCAATAACTAACATATTATCACGTTAAACAGTAGCACGTTGTATTGCCAAATGAAATATCACATTTTCTTTCTCATTCAAAATCGACACCTGCAAAAATATATTTTTAAAGAAGAGTCTTTTATAAGAAATCAAATCGAATAATATTAATAAACAGTTGTAAATATTATGCTACTGGTTAGCTTATCAGCTGGCGTAATATGTAAATCATTATTGGATATTTACATTACATTTATACACTATCTCAGTGTTTTCCAACACCGGATTACTTTTATCATAGAACCGTACATTTTCTTGAAGCCTACTGCCATCTATTGGTATTAATCTGAACTAAATTGAAAATGAGAGTTGTTTGTAAATATGCCCGTGTAGAGACTAGAATAACGCGATTGTAATTACGATTTCTTTTCTAGAATTAATTTGTAGCTTTAATATAATTAAGATCGTGTGTTTTTTTGTAGGAAAACGTCGTTGTATTGGGGAAGGATTAGCACGCTCTGAACTCTTCATGTTCCTTACTCATATCCTTCAAAAATTCCACCTCAGAATACCTAAAAATGAACCGTTGCCGTCAACTGAACCCATCGATGGACTTTCATTGTCTGCTAAGCAATTCAGGATTATTTTCGAATCGAGAAAAACATTTAAGAGTATTTAAATTTTCATTTGTCCACGTACACGTTTTAATTAATTTAGTTAATTTAGTTAATTTAGTTAATTTAGTTAGTTTCAGTTAATTTAGCTATGAGGTCGATTTCTTAATTATAATTTTCATTACAATTATGAAAGCTTTCTATTATAACTTCACTGAAATGTTATTATTCCTTTAGGTTTTTTATGGGTTTTCAGTGTATTATGTAACGGGATTTTTATGTAATAAATTTGGTTGTTAAAAAGTCAGCTTTGGTTATTTATTTAAAATAAATTTGACATTTAATTTGCTTTCTCAGAATGGTCCTGACCTATCTTTGAAAATCGATGTATAACGCGCATGCGTTGTGTTAGTCCTCAGTACCTGTCAAGTAGCACCGGCGAAAACTATTTTTGTTATTCATATCAGCATACATTTTGAATTAATAGAACTTAAAATATCCTTTTCACTAGTGTCGGAATGGTTTTATAAATCAGGTGTATTTTGTAGAACTATAACTGCAACAACAAAGTGATAAAATTCGAACTATTAATACGCTTAATTAGACAATATAATGTTTAGCTGAACAATATTTGGCTAAATACATTTAAAAAAATAAAGTATACAACAAATGACGTTATATAAGCAAAGCTTTTTTAAAAAAAATGACAATGGAACTGTTGCTGAAATTTAAAAATGGGAAGTGACAAAGGGTGAGAAAATGAATGAGACCTTAGGACGAGGGTATGCCCGCATCGATGCCATCCGGGCAGCGCGGGGCGAGCCGTTCTCCACCCTGGTGGAGTCGGGTGCTCCGCCGCCGGACAGACTCTTCATTGTCTACATAACACTGTTCCTGGCCGGGGCAGCATGTTTGCTGCCATTCAACGGGTAAATTAAACTCCCTTTATTGTTATAAAACAATGATGTTATAGTAAAAAGAACACGTCCTTACGGATCCATTAGATCCAATATCCTTTGCATTAGACGCCTTCAGCTCTAACGCTAGGAGCAGGCTAGCTAGGCAGCTAGGGATCCCGGTAACCGTACTGTCGAACTCGACAAAGAGTTCGACGTGCAACCTAACCCATGAATCGCTGAGTTTCTCGGCTGTTCTCAGCGGGTCGCGATTCCGATCCGGTAGTAGATTCATTCGCGAAGCAGCTGCACTTGAGTTGTTAGGTCTCCTTCGGAGGCGTTAGGACAGCTGTTAGCAAATCCCACCGCTCCTGGCTGAGCCTTTGCTCGCCCAGCTGTCCTGGTGAAACTTGAAAGGCCCCCATCCATCCAAAAAAAAATTGAAAAGAGGAAATATCATCAACTCGGCAGTCGATTTAATTCGACCGCATAATAACGTATGGTTTAGTGTGCTTATAAATTTACGTAGGTACCTACATACGCCGCCCGTGGACAATGCTTGACTTCACATTAGTACTAATATAACGTATCTACCTCTTTTTATTATAACATCATTGTTAAAAACATACATTTTCATTAGCTTGCAATAGGGACATCGTTAAAATCAGCTGATCGTTCATTAAAATTTAATCTTTACCGTATGTTGTCGATTGACCTTCGAAGTTCGTAAAAACAGTTGTACGTCATCATGTATTAAATATGTCCCCTAAGAACACGATTAAATTTAAATAAACACATTTCATAACAATAAAAAGTTACATAACAAATACATTAATGTGCTATTTTCTTTGGATTTCTCGAGTTGTAGTTGTGATTAAAAGTAATTTTACGTTTTAATATCTCATTTCTTTATACGTTTTAGTAGTCACGGTCGTCTTTGATCACGAAAATTGTAAACTATTCAAAACGTTCGAAATAATATATTGACAATTAAAAATTTACGCGAGATTATCGCCCACAAGGAGTTTTAATTAAGTATACACATGCACAGAACTTTATAATAAATATTTAAAAAAAACATACAATTTACGGACCCGTTTTTCATATCACCACTGTATTCCTTATGAAACGTAATCTAGACATCAGTAATCATCTTGCACGATCAATGTAATATAATAGTAATTATCTACTTAAACCATACATCATACGCAAAAAATACAGAGGGTTCCAAAATTTCAATTTAATATTCATGTTATAATATTTAACATATTAATTAATTTACACAAAACAGTGTAGTTGTAGCGTTTAATTTTAAACCTTAATATTTCAGCTTCATCATAGCAGTTGATTATTACCAGGATCAGTACCCGAACACGGCCATAATATATGATATAACTACAGTGTACATATCATCGGCCTGTGTTGCAGTTGTCGTTAATAACCTGTTGGTATACATTTCACATTATACCACACGCATCACATTTGGTGAGTTATTAGATTTTATTATAAACTAGCTGACCCGGCGGACTTCGTAGTGCCTCAATCGATAAATAAAAGACCTAAGCTTTTGTAAAAAATAAACTTAAAACACACAAAATGAATCCGTCCGACGGGGGACACATCAAAGGAAAAACAAAATTGTTATTTTTATTTAATTCCGAGCATTTTCATATTTATCTATCTTTTGAACCTTCTCTGGACTTCCACAAATAATTCAAGACCAAAATTAGCCAAATCGGTCCAACCGTTCTCGAGTTTTAGCGAACAGCAATTGATTTATAGATATAGAGATATTTTATTACAAGTGTAATTGGGCAGACGAGCTAGTGGAGTATATTATACTCAAAAAAGAGATCAATTTGTACTTAGTCGTAGTTCTCCTAGAAATATTAGTATATTTTTATACTAAATAAAGTTTTATAGTGAACTAGTATTTGAGTAACTAGAGAAAGGCTAACTTAAAAATTTGCGCACATATCAAGGACCGATAACTAAAATAATTTCATCATCGCAGCCTGAAGTCCTGATCAAGATAACAATTACAAAAATTACATCATTTCTTTTTAGTTTTTAAACTATTGTTATTTTGGCATAATACGTATTACAACATACAAAAAAAGACAATGGATTAGATCCTATTTATAGGATCCTATTTATAGATATCGTAATAATAATCGTGTAGAGCCTGGTCAGAGAAAGGTAAACTGATATATTAAATGTAGTATGATACTACTCTTAATAATCTCCTCCTTCGCAAATTCTTCCTGCTCCTTTCTGTTCCTATTGTTGTGCTATTTTTGCTAGATGGTATGAAACATTCCTGTTTTTTGTGTGATGGTAGGATAGCTCTACCTCGCTCTATCTCGTCACATGGTAGTATTCATTTGACCACGGGTGATTCGTGACCTCATTCATTTCATTTAATTAAAGACCTACGTTAAATTCTTCCTTCATTTAATTAAAGGTAGAATGTCGACCTATGCGAGTGGCTGGCTAGAGCTGGGTGAGACAAGCCGGGGATCGTTCTCAGCCGCGTACAATTGGAGAAGCCCATGTTGGATGTATGCTACATCTTTCATCATCAGCCTATAATAGTGGACTGCTATAGACTGATGCTATATCATCATGTTAGGCCTTACAGCCCAGAGCGGGCCTTAGCATGGTCCAGTATATCTCTCCAGACTACTCTGTTCAGGGCTTTCTCCTTCCAGTTCCTGACACCGATAGCTTTGAGGTCGTAGTCTACGCCAACTAATCATCGGAATTTGGACCTGCCGCGACTTCTTTGGCCCTCTGGTTTGCCTTAAAGTAGTTGTCTTGGCATTCTGGTATCTTCCATTCGAATTACATGTCCTGCCTGCTAGAAGATTGCACAAAGTGGGAATGAGTTGCTCGCTCCGGGCATTTCAATATTGTAATAATTGTTATGTTATAATTACTTATTTTAAAAATGAATATTTAAAAAAATCTAATATTAAAAAAAAAAAAACTAATATTTCAAAAAAAAAAAAGACATGCCCGCTGTGTTTCTTGCCAATTCTTCTCAGGACGGAGGCTAATTCTTGTGAATTGGCGTTAGTTCTTTTGACGTTCAACAAGTATGTACTTTCATTTATGTTGAATAAAACTTTTTTGATTTGATTTGATTTGATTTGCCCATCGTAGGCGTCCATTTTTTGTAGTTTTTATGATATTATATTATAAATATCATACAATTCGTGACTATAGCGCGTCTTCTATATCTCGTTTTCCTGCACAGCACCGAATATCCGTCTTAAGATCTTACTCTCGAACACAAGTAGACGGTTCTCATACTTTTTGCTGTCTCTGAGCCATAAATAAGAATGGGTGATGGCTTTGCTATAGGCTATACGAAAACATCTTATCAAGTTTTATCTTTATTTTTAACAAACATAAGAACTATTCTAAGTTAATTGTAAAACTACAAAGACTGCAACTAATTGAATATCACTACATAGTATAAAACAAAGTCGCTTTCTCTGTCCCTATATCTGTCTGTCCCTATGTATGCTTAAATCTTTAAAACTACGCAACGGATTTTGATGCAGTTTTTTTTAATAGATAGTGATTGAAGAGGAAGGTTTATATGTATAACTATCTTCACCCCGCGGTGTCACTTGCGGTACGAAAATAACCGCGGGTAACATCGCGGAACTCAAATATCAATAATAAAATTTAATGTTTCCGAAGCGAAGCGAGAGCGGATCGCTAGTTAATGATAAAAATTGTTAATTTCCACGACGTAATTACGTGAAATAAGAAAATTTTCGTCCGCGACCAGAGTATCTGTTAAATAAATCGACACGTCCGAAATTATAAAATCAAAACACGAGATAGATTAAGCATTAAAAGTAGTTATAATTATGTCTAAATCCCGCGAAAACCGAAGAGATTACTAAATTACAAAACATTTCTCATTCCAGCCATCCTGTTCACGCTATGCACAATGCTGTTTGTAACGCTATGCAACATCGGTTGGGACAAGTTCTCTCCACACGTCTCTTACAATATTAACCTGATAGCTATAGGGTTTATTGCATTCGGTTGTACCATCCAGCAGGCTTCATATTATGGATTCACAGGCTGTCTGCCGCCAAAATACACGCAAGCCGTAATGGCTGGAGAAAGTAAGTATATATTACAATATATACATATAGAGTAGAGTAGAGTAAAAATAACCAAAACAAAAACATTAAATACAAAACGCAAAACATTAAATAAAAAAGTACAATGGGCGGTCTTATCGCTAAGAGCGATCTCTTCTAGATAAACATCAGGTGGACAACAATGACTTTAGCGAATAAATTAACCGCGGTGTTGTAGGTTAAAAAAATAATAAAATTTTAAATAATAATAATTTAATAATAATTTTTAATATTTTAAAATTCATCAGTATAATGATAAGTTTGCTACTTTACACATAAAAATTAATAAAAAACAATTCACATACGTACCTACGTAATAGATAGTCAATAATTCAAATAATATCGGCCCTATAATCTATTCTATACTAATATATAAATCTACAGTGGTTTTTACGGATGTTCCGTTATAACTACTGAACCAATCGTCCGATTGATTTGAAACTTGGTATCCATGTAGAAAATACATGTACTTAATGAATAGGCTAATATTTATATGAGTGTTGGACACTCTACATCTCTACATCAGTTGCGGGGTATATGTATATAAGTATATATATACCCCGCAACTGTGCCGCACTCGGCCGCTACGTTTGCCACTAGGGGCGCTGTTCCAATGACATACAAATTTGTGTTAACTTTTACGTTATCAATAACGTTAAAAAACTCGCACTAAGCACATTGTTCTATTTTTAACGTTGTCAATTTTTTAAGGCGCTGCTGGTTTCTGGGTGTGCATCGATCGAATTGTAACAAAATATTGGTTTCCATCGCCGCAACGCAGTACGTTTGTGTTCTTCGTATTCTTAATCCTAGTTCTCATGGGACACTCATTGCTCCATCACGTTATGATGCGACAACTCTTCGTCCAGTACTACATGAAACTTACGAAAGAATCTCAACGTAGACGGCGTATCCAATTGCATTTGACTCCTCACGACGATACGACTTTGGTGAGTAAAAATTTAAATGCTTACAATGACTGCCAATTAATAATAATAAATGCTTAATAAACACATTCAGCATAATGTTACGCGCTGTATCCGCTTTGCTTCAGATGATCCGTTCGCTGTTTCCTAATGTTGATCGAAGGCTGTTTCATTTGGAGTAGAATTGATTAATAATTGGATTAATGTCGTATCTGCAACGCTTTTACAGTGGACACGACAAGTCTACAATTATCGAGAGGATTTTTTTTCCTACCTAAGTTGATAGCTTTGGGAGGCTATTTCAGCGTAACCTTAACTAGTAGGTGAGCTCACGGGGCTCAAACCGGAGCGATGCGAACACTGACCCTAGCTAGAGCAGTGCTTCGCAGAATCTACCACCGGATCGGAAACGCGACCCACTGAGAAGATTCGGCGAGAAACTCAGTGGGCTGTCTATGGATAGCATTCTGAGTAGAACCAGTCATTTCGATATGTGTTTCCGTTATTTGATAATAGATGGCGTTACTCTTACCGACGTAACAATAATAATATATGTAGGTATAGCATATAGTATTTAACGAAAATAACCCTCATATCTAGGCAATGTGAAAAAAAACTAAATTTGTTAATTTATCTACTCCGAGTTTTGGAAAGAATTACAAAGATATTATCATAAATGTTTCTAGATGGAGAATGAAACTGCGGAAGCCAATTTTGGAGTTCTTAAATTGCAAAGCCCAGCAGTTTCTAGTGCTGGAATTAATGGACAAGGTAAATCAATAAGCTTGTTATAACAAAAAGTTTTTGTTTACAATAATATCATGCTATGTGTTATATGAGAATATAGATATGTATGTAATTAATCTATATTTCATAGTTTTAAGATCAAGAAAAAAAGCAGTAAATTAATATACATTAATTAATGAATCAAGTTGAAAATTTTTATAAAATTTTGAAATATTTCTCGTTTTTAGCTGAAGGCGAATCTAGCAAATTTAGTTTTGCCAATCCCGTATATTCACCGACTGCCACCAATCCAGCGCCCATTGCCGAGGGAGAGCCTTCGTCTGGATCTCCTTCTACTTTGAGAACTCCAAGACCATCGTATAAGGTTGAGGATGTTGTGACAGAGTCTCCAGGAAGACCCACCACATGGAAAACTTTCAAACGTAAGTTCATTATGCAATCAAGTATATACCACTATACAAATAATTATATATTGCGGATTATTATATATTTTTTAGTCGTCGTGGCGTAATGGATAAGACGTCTGGTGCATACGTGTTGAGGCGATACACCGATGTTCGAATCTCAGGCGGGTACCAATTTTTCTAATGAAATACGTACTCACCAATTGTTCACGATTGACTTCCACGGTGAAGGAATAACATCGTGTAATAAAAATAAACCCGCAAAATTATAATTTGCGTAATTACTGGTGGTAGGACCTCTTGTGAGTCCGCAGGGGTAGGTACCATCACCCTGCCTATTTCTGCCGTGAAGCAGTAATGCGTTTCGGTTTCAAGGGTGGGGCAGCCGTTGTAACTATATTGAGACCTTACAACTTATATCTCAAGGTGGTTGGCGCATTTACTTTGTAGATGTCTATGGGCTCCAGTAACCACTTAACATCAGGTGGGCTGTGACCTGAATGAAAATGACTACGACAGGACGCTTCTTCTGCGCAAAGAAGGAATTTTAACTTCAAGTAATTAGCTATTTTTAACTATATTCGATATGGTTATAATAAACAATATAAATAAATAAATATCTACTTCAATAACCACACGTTGTAGGCCAATCGAATTTTAGAGCATTTAGTTTCAATGGTATAAATCACTGTACCTCCCTCAAGTGGACAAATAATCCACAGTCTCAAATTAATTGCCAACGGAATAAAAATAGCTGTTTGAGTGAAAAAAATTAATATTGCATCAACCCTGACAGAGCCAAAAGGGAAAATAGCCGTTGTAATTCGCATTTCCGTACCTATCAGCCAGTTTACTCGGAAACTGTCGATGAAATATATGAAATTTGGTAGGTTTGCGATTTTATAAAACACATGATGGTGTAACGGTAGAAAGGAATTAATCTGAGGCACTACACGATTAACAAATCTTACATACATATAGAATGTTATCCAATGCACAGATACATGTGAGGTAATAAAGTTAAATGGAAGGATTCGAAATCAATTTTTAGCTTTCATTTATAGTTTCTAGGTATATGCTACAAAAGTCGTAAAATTCTCGAATTTTTTACTATAATATAGACAATTCTGAGCAGTATGTAGGTATGCATAAAGATGTCAAACAGCTAATTTTATATAATAATAATTTTAAATTAAATTATAAGTTTAACATAAGTTTTGATTGGGAAATTTTATAATTGCAGGTGGTATGCTAAGTCGTTGGGCCGTAGCTCGTGCAATATATCCGTATATGGTCTGCATAGGACTAGTTCACTTCACTACGATGAGCTTGTACCCGGGAATCGCTTCAGAAGTACCATCATGCCGCCTCGGATCCTGGATGCCTGTCGTACTAATGACAGCTTTTAACTTATTCGACTTGATTGGTAAAGTAAGTATTATTCTTAATCGTACAACAACTAAACCAAGGGCTCCCAAACTTATTTTGTCTACTGCCCACTTTGAGAATAAATTATTTTTTAGCGCCCTCATTTTTTCACCTACTTAAAAACCACTATAGCGACAGCCTAGTCGGTGTTTTTTTTTTTTATGATTGAAAGATTACTGGTGGCCCGGAGGCCTTTCCAGCTTCACCAGGACAGGTGGGCGAGCAAAGGCTCAGCCAGGAGGGGTGGGATTTTCTAACAACTGCCCGAGCGCCTCCGAAGGAGACCTAACAACTCAAGAGCAATTGCTTCGCGAATGAATCTACTACGCGATCGCGACCCACTGAGAAGATCCGGCGAGAATTTCAGCGGGCTGATGCATGGGTTGGGTTGCACATCGACCTCTTTGTCGAGTTCGACGAGTACGGTTACCGGGGTTCCTCAGCCTGCTCCTAGTGTTAGAGCTGAAGGTATCTAATGCAAGAGTCATTGGATCTGATGGATCCGTAAGGATGTGTCTAGGGCGACGACGGTGACTTGCTCCTGCGTGATCAGGATTCGGGGAGTAATCAGCGGCGGCAACGATAAGGCGATTATCATGACGCATAGCCTTATCGAAGTAACGTTCCGACACTGACTTCATGTATTTGCGGATCGATTCGAGGCCCAGGTCGTCGTGTAGGTCGACGTTCCTCACGAACCACGGAGCCCCGACGGCTAACCTGCAAAAGTGGGATTGTAGGGATTGGAGAGTGTCTATGTGTGTGCGGGCCGCGTGAGCGAACACCACACTTGCGTAAGTCATGACCGGCCTTATGCAAGTTTTGCAAAGTGTCACCTTGTTACGAAGGGACATTTTACTCCGCTTACAGATCATGGGATAGAGTCTGCCGAAAATAAATGCGGCACGGTCACGGACTGTTTTTATATGCGGGCGGAACGTCATGGATGCATCCAGGGTGACTCCCAGGTACTTGACCTTCCTGGCCCAGGGTATAGGTTGGCCGAAGAGGGTGATCGGGGGTGTGCCTAGTCGGTGTCTAAGAGTCCTCCTAGATGAAATTATAAATCGCCTCCCAAACCTCTACACAACGCCCCCTTTTTTTTCTGAGTCTCTTACGGTCCCTCTTTAGGCCCGCAGCGCCTACAAGGGGGCGTTATCGCCCACTTTGGGAAAGGCTGAACTAATCAATGAATTTATGTATTAGTAAGATACAAGGCGTAAAGAAGCCCTTCTCGAAAACAAGGACATACTTTATTGAAAAAATCATAATCAAAAATATTATTATTCTATCAATGTGTTTTGCATTAGATGGCGGACGCGTGGCACTCCTGACTTCGAGGTAATGCGGGAAGACTTTCAAAAGCAATATTGAGAGTTCACGAAATATAAACTATAATATTATATAATAATATAATAAAGTAATAATATGATTGACTGACGAAACACAAACTGAGTTAATATTAAACATTTTTTTTTATTAGTTAGTAAAACTTATCGAAGCAATGGTTCCATTCAAGTTTTTATTTTTGAAATATTAAAAGGTCAAGTGAATTCCTACGCGTTACATTACATCGGAGCACGCGACATATATATGTACATATATATTCATACTTAATTTAGCTTTATAAGCCCGTTACATTTACACTAAAATTTAGATTTTCAAATACCAAAGAGATAAAACTGTCACATTTTATTTGTTTTTTCTGTATGTTCTTATTATAATAATGCCTTTCATGTTGTCGACATACAATGCCTAATAATTTTTTTTTATAATATTTTACTGATCAAAACTATTGTATAAAGTTTAGAAATATTTATTTAGTACTATATTCATACCGTACTCATATTGTGTATAGTAGTGCGGAGCCGCGCCTGTCGATGGTTAATAGTAAAAATTAATAATCAATAGCAATAGTTTATAAAGCCCCGATAGCTCATCATGAATAAATTTATGTTAGTGTAGTGGTTTATTGCTTTTCCGAATTCGGGAATCGTCTTCCTTCTAAATAGTATGGGTTTCTTTACAATTAATTCGTTTGTGAATTTATTATCTTTATTTGTTTTAATACAAACATTTAAATCGAGACAGGCGCTGTGAAAAATAAGAAGTGAATTGTTTAGTGTTTCACCAAATAAAACTTAATAGTACAGGATCCCTGGTACACTTTTCATCATTTATATATAAGTTAGTAATAAATGATGAAAAGTGTGCCAGGGATCCTGTACTATAAATAATAATGTGATATGTCCTAATAAATATTTTAATCAAAGCAGTGCTAATATTGGAATTGCCATTGGCCTTTCTAATTCCCATTTCATTCCACCTACTAACCTAATAGGTGGTTTTTACTGGTAGCAGGACGTCTTGTGAGTCCGCAGGGGTAGGTACCACCACCCTGCCTATTTCTGCCGTGAAGCAGTAATGCGTTTCGACTTGAAGGGTGGGGCAGCCGTTGTAACTATACTTGAGACCTTAGAACTTATATCTCAAGATGGGTGGCGCATTTACGTTGTAGATATCTATGGGCTTCAGTAATCACTTCACACCAGATTGGCTGTGAGCTCGTCCAACCATCTGAACCAATAAAAAAATAATAAAAATAATAATGATAAGAACATGGAATTAACAATTGTTTTTTTTTTATTGTATTGCAGACTGCAGCAGCATGGCCGTATGAATGGAGCCGTAGTCAGTTGTTGATGGCGAGTGGCCTAAGACTGTTATTAGTACCACTGGTCTTACTATGTGCTGCACCCAGACATTCGCCTCATATAGTTGGAGATGTATGTAAAATAATAATTTACATTTAGAGAGAGAGAGAGTAAGAAAGAGAGAGAAAGAAAGAGACAAAGTATGAGTATTGTACACTAAATAAATAAAACATGCGAAACATTAAATACAAAAGAGTACAATTGGCGGCTACATTAATTACAAATTAGCAATTTTTCTAGAAAGTAGAAAGATATTTTGCATCCCAGATGTTTTTAATTGCTCTAGAATCTATATGAACCAATCAATGAAGCACACGGAAACTATAATATTAATCGTTCAAAAATTTTTAATATTAATTACATTAAAACAATGACTGTCCGAACTGGAACTCATAATTGCATCGCGGTAAATTACAAGGAAAAATAACAATGATGCCTAATGTTTTTCATAAATGATTTCGCGTAAGTAGTACTGGCTTGGCAGGTATACTAGCAGCCATTAGTCACCGTGCTTTATTGATATCGCGACTAAATTAAGCAAAGTAAGAGATAGGTAAAAACATGAAAATTATAAAAAATAGCGTTTTCTTCGATTTTCACTAGCCGTGCACATAGTTAATATTTCTTTTACAGATTAGTATGTTTTTAATTTTAATTACACAATATTATTTGCAACGTTTCGAACGTTAACAGTTTTTGTGGCCACGAACGACCGGATATAAAGACAATAAAACCTCGAGATTATACCACACTTTTGCAGTTTAATAATTATGAAAAAGATCCTATTTACTTTTATTAAAGTGTTGTTAAATAGTAAATTGTAACGTTAATTAAATCAATGTTTCGCTTACAAAATTTATATTTTATCAAATAACCTATTTCAGATATATTCCATAATGTTTTCGATCATTCTGGGTTTTACCAATGGTCTCTTCGGGTCAGTTCCAATGATGACGGCGCCTACACGCGTTGGAAGGGAATACAGAGAAATAGCGGGTAAATTAATCAGTCCATGGACACTTGTCTTCACACTTTAGAAAACTTTTTTCTTCCTCATTGTTTTCATACATTATAAACATCATATTTTGTGCTCTAAATGCAGAATTTAGCATGTTAATAAATATAGCACAACCTAAAATAATAAAATTTATTTTAGAACAATTTTGAAACTTCTTGTAAATATTTATTGGGTCTGTTCATAAATAAATACCTGAACTATACATAAAATACTTAACAAAAATATATCGAATATGAATTTTATGAAAAACGTTGTAACATATTTGATATAGAGCGTAAACAATTAAAAGACAAGTTTTCAACTAGCTGCTGTAAAGTCACAGGGAATAATGTGCAAGTGCATAATAATATGTATTATTAAAAAAAAAAACTTTCAGTACTTTCCTTATTTCTTTAGTAGAGTCCTGTGGCATTCTTTTGGGAGGAAAAAATAAAAATATCAAAATAAAATAACGTCATAAGAATATTCCCAAAACTGTTATATTTTATTTATTTTAACGGAAATTATTGTAATTGTGCAGGTAACGTGATGACTCTTTCATACAACGGAGGTCTGCTGTCTGGATCGCTCGTTTCATATCTCTTATTGGGCATGCTGGGTCCCACGGGAGAGTCGCCGTGCCGAGTATACCCCACCCCGATCCTTCCCACTCTCCCACCAGCCCCACCACTCGCACCGCATCCAATTCACAACGACACATATCTATCTGTCTTGCACTAATTATTAATATTATATATTAATGCACTACTAATATTTAATTACCAAAAATAAATGAATAAGAAATGTAATAGGAAGTTCATGAGTATGACGTATTTTCTCTAATTCTGTCTTGTGCAGTTTATACATATTAATTATAATTAGTTTACGATGGCAGAGTTATTACATTTAAGGATTTCAGGAATCCTACGTAACATTATAAACAATATACTATGTACTTGAATTTATCTCACCGTTTATGGATTACGTAGCGATTACGGGCGTATTTTAAATGTAAAAACACAGAAACACGAACCAACGTTAGTGTCACCAAAGTTCGGTTTTTTGGTGGAATATTTTTATTTTTCGTCGAAATCTCTGACACCTGCAGTACAGAACATTTTTGGTAATTAAAGTAGTGTGACCATCCACTATGTGTAAATAAATACTAGCAAAAAAATTGAAATAATAATGAAACTAAGTCCGGGTAAAAAATTATAGTACCATTTCTAGCATTCATTATTTCTGTGTAATTTTTAGCGTAATTCTAATTACTAGCATCGCTTGAAATTGAAATTGAATTATTGACTCTCTTATTAAAGACTGAATCATTTTTTAACTACATTTTTAAATAGCTCGGGTAAGCGTTTATTTTTTCTCAAGAATATATTTCTAAGTCTTCAATATAAAAGTACGCTAATACTTTGACTGATTATGAATATTGAAAGAAAACAATGGTATAAATACGAATTCCAGTTTCATAGTGTTAAATGCAAACTTTTCACATTCCGTGCAGTAATTACAATCATGATTACCATAGCACGATTAAACAGGAAAGTTAATAATTATTAATCCGACAAGCAAATGACCCAATAATGATAATTGTAAAATGGCACTCAACACGCTTATATGTATCTTTTTTTATTTAAATTACTTATTTATTAGTGACATTAACCTCACTTGTCGAACAACACAATTTATTGAGTATTTATACGCTGATAATATCAGAATTAAATTAATTAATTATTAATAACTTTAATTAATAATGGCCTAGAGCAAAAACCTCAATTCACGTTGCACTATAACTACTTAATACTCATTAATTTTATCTACCCTTGCTGCACAAACATTCCTTGAGATTTTTGAAGTGAAACTTCCTTATCGGCGTTGGAAAAAAATTTACCGTCACATTTTTCGGTTACGCGTCACATTTTTCCGTTACGCGCCATCTTTTTTGTATTCATGTCTATGATAATAAAATCCTTTTGTTTAAACTTTATCTAATTTAACTTTTTTGTATTCATGTCTATGATAATAAAATCCTTTTGTTTAAACTTTATCTAATTTAACTTTTTTGTATTCATGTCTATGATAATAAAATCCTTTTGTTTAAACTTTATCTAATTTAACTTTATTTAACCAATTTCTAGAAAGTTGCATGTAGATCATTTTTCGAAAAATAAGGCCATAAACAAGTTTCACTTCTTACGTGTGTACACTAGTACACGCACACATTTTTTTACTTCTAATGTTTGGTGGGATCTTAATGAAAAGACTTATGAATCTTGACTAAGACTTAATTTTGTTGAAAAGTACTTAGACTTCACCAACACTCAATCACCGTACCAGTCGAACTCAATACAGAGTTTGAGGTCACAACAACCAGCGGAGTTTTTCGCAGGATCTCCTCATCTAGTAGATTCGATACGATGGTAGATGCACTGGCAGAGCTCCCTTTTATCTGGCATACTTCGGAGGCACCCAGGCGGTTGTTAATATCTCTATTCCTTCTGGCTGAGCCTGAGCTCTCCTAACCGACCTGGTGAATCAGGAAAGCTCTCTCCCGTCCACCAGCAATCCATGCATTCCATAATAATAAGAGTACTTTTGTGAATATATACATATACACCATATACCTAGTCAGGTCATAAATTCTGTCACATGTTTAATGTAAAATAATTGAAACAAGTTTATTCATTATTTAACCGTTCATATACCAAAATGAACTTAACAAAACATAGATTCTTATGACACTAAAGTTTATTCAAAATGACCTCCGTGGTTTTGAATACAGGTCTTCAATCAGCGCGGCCAGTCGTCTATCGCAGCACGAACGAGGTCCATGTCAATATCGGCGGCTGCCTTAATCAAGGATGTCTTGAGTGACTCCAAATTGGGATGAGGCTTTGAGCACGCCTTTTCCTCCAAGTGTTGCCATATCTTGTAATTTAACGGATTCAAATCTGGACTGGAGAAGGGCCAGTCTTCGTGCCGGATGAAGTCGATTTCACGCCCCGCCAGCCAGTCTTGTGTGCTCTTCGCTCTATGAGCTGGCGCTGAATCTTGTTGGAATACCCAGTGCCTGTTATTGAACATGGTATGAGAAACAGGTTCCAAAAGGTTCGTCAGGATTGTATTTTGATACACAACTGCATTCGTTTTTACACCTTTCTCACAAAAATGTACCTCTGTTAAGCCCCAATAAGAAACTCCCAACCATACCATGAGCGAGGATGGAAAATTACCTCGTTGGACACGCAGAATACGGTTGCTCACTTCTTCACTACTGTGTGCGTACACCTTATCATTTTGTTTGTTGTAGCTCTCTTCTACGGTAAAAATTTTTTCATCCGAAAAAAGAATTTCCCGATATTTTTTTCCCGCGTACCGCTTCAACAAAGCGCGGCATCTCTTCAGTCTCAGGTCCGTTAGACGAGCATTCAAACGATGTCCTGTTTTTCTTCGATATGCCCGAAGCCCTAAGTCTTCATTTAACACCCTTTTCACCGTGGTTCTGCTTAACCCCATCTGAAGGGCCAACAGTTTATGCTTACGTTTGGGATTTCTTTGAATTCGCGCCTTCACAGCTTTTATCACTGCTGGAGTCCTAACAGACCGAGGGCGACCACTTCTTGACCTGTCATCTACACTAGAGTCTTCATTGTATCGTTTGATGGTACGATAAACGAATCTTTTGGTTATATTCAAATTTTTCAGTATGTTAAAAATTTGAATTGGCGCGTAACCGCAACGATGCAACGCAATAACTGCAACACGGTCTTCTTTAAGCGTCCACTCCATATTTAAAAATGAGTAAAATTCTAAAAGTATACATTTTTATTTTCATGAACAATTCGAAATTCGAATTCAATAAACTTTTTTGTGGCCAGCATTCTAAAAGAAAAGTTTTTACTGTGTGACAATACTTATGACCTGACTAGTTATATTAGTTTTAAGCTAATATTAATTGGCATTCATAATTTGATCCAAAATATTGTTCATTAATTTTCTTCTTAAATTTCAACTCTGATTTGACTGAATGAACACTTAATTTCTTAATTGTGACGTAAGCGCTAAAATATATGTACGGGACCACATGCGAGTTATTTGTTAAAAAAAACTAACATATATCTAACAGCTTATCATCATGGTCATAATGAATATAAACGTATACGCGTCTGCCTCCACATTCAAATTACGTACTTATTATTATGTTTTTAGAGAATTTATTTGAAATGGCTAAATAGTCATCTCGAAACAGCCGTGTAATTAAATTAAATAAGTTTCATCGCGAAATCAAGCCCCCTTTGTACTGTCCAAATTTGTTCGATGTTATCTTTAGTGCGACGTATGCCAGTGCTTACACGGATTTAACAGGATTGAATGCAAATATCAAAAACCTTTAACAACTTGGCCATTAAAATTGTAGCGACTTAGCGTAATACTGAGCTAGAATAAAAATGAGACTGATTAAGTGCGAAGAATTACAATATTACCTACATTTGAAAATATTATCATATTATCTAGTAGCAGTGAAAGTTGTATGTATTTGTAAATTATTTTATGATTATAAAATGTTACTTACTATTATCTAATCAAACACTATGACTGTATAATATATATCAATTTAAGTTTTATTCGCATTATTCCAGCAATTTCAATGATAACGTAGCGATATCTCTCGGCCAATAGAAAAACTCAATGATGTCATTCATCGACTCAAAAAAGATTTAACGTGTTCTATTGTTGTACAATATTGTAACTAAAACGGATGAGACAGAACCCAACTCAAACAAATTACCAGACCTGAAGATTCTGGTAGTTCTTTCTGTCTGCAAAGAAACTTAAATGTCAATATGTCGAATTTTTTTATCCCTACCTAATCCTTGGTAGACTAAGAAGTTATTACGTCGACGAATCACAACTTAGATGTCTAAGACCGTGACAGCTGCTTAATTCGACACAGCGTAACTTACATTAGAATATTAATAAAAAATTCGAAATTAAACCGTAAAAGTTTTAGTTGTGTTGTAGACTCGCGAAATCCAAAGAGAATTAGTTTAACAGATACTCTACTTCTATGTAATATTGTCCCTATCAAGAAGCACAGACGTAGTGGTGCCTCAAAGATTTGCTGATGTGCAAGAGCAACGGCTCATATCGCTTTTGCCGATAATACGATAAATTCCAATTGCAATATTTAATAGTTTGAAACAGCTTTGGACCAAAGAATTTTAATCAAAATGAAAACTGTAACACCAATGCTACAGTTACACCCAAGAAAATACAGATAAATGAATAATGTTGAATTGTATGAAATGTTCTTTTGTAATGTACCAATATAGTTCATTCAACATCATTGTTGTCGTTTCGGATATAACTGTCTATGTATCGGAATTTTTAGGACCGTTTTTACCTCCACTTTTATATAATAAATACATTAATATAAAAATTGTTTACATAAACATAGCTTCTCTCGGAATTATGTACCTACCTAGATTGAATCATTAAGCACGCAATAGTAAACCATTAATTCAAGTGACAAAAATTAAGGTAACCGTATGGTTTTAATTAAGGAAAAATCAACAGTAGATAGTGTTAATTCGTTTAAAAATATGTAGCCCTTATTCGACTAGAAATTTGAATGTAACATTATTCAGCATTAAATTAACCTTATAATATTGTAAAACGATTACAAATAACTGGTAGCATATTAAGACATTGTAAAAATAATAATAAATGTCATTTACGAAATTATTGGCTTTTATTAAATAATAGTATTTAGTCAAAAGACAAGGCGTAGACGTCAACAATGTTAATGCTGCCACCAACCTTGAGACATGAATTCGAAGTCTCAGTTTTACAGTATAACGGCTGACCCACCTTCAGACCGAAACGCATTACTGCTTCACGACAGAAATAAGTACGGTGATAATACCTAGCAATGCGGGCTCACAAGAAGCCCTGCTATTACTAATTACGCGAAATATAATTTTTGCAGATCTAATTTTTAGTTTTTAAAGTCGGTACGCATTGTTCTATACACATTATTCATTGTTCACGACGATTAAAATTTGCATTGAATCAACCGGACGATAATATTGGGATATTAGCGCAGGTGTGCCTTAATATTGCCAAACCCCACAGACACATCCCACTGAATTTCTCACTAAATCTTCTCAGATTTCGATCCGGTTGTAGATTCAACGAAGCACTGCTCTTGCTAGGGCAGATTCTAGAAGTCTCTCAATTTCGCCTACACACCCGGTGAACCTAGAAAAGCCGCTTGAGGCTACTGATAATAGAGCAGAAACTGAAGAAGCAATATCAGTAATAGTGACGTAGTTTAGTACGCCAGAAGACACTAGAATGCAACAATCACTTTTCAGGTCAAACACTTAATGGTTGTTTTCGCTGGAAAAGAATATTCTTTCTCCATACCTTCGCCTGCTCTACAATAAACTCTCTTTACGTAAATTATGGCTAACTCAAGACATTCTTTAAAGTCGTGACATTAATCATAATAACTCTAAATTTATCTAAATAATTGCTTGCTGTCTGAAACTCATTGGCACTGATTATGATTGAACATTGACACAGAGGTCGGATCGTCCTATTTTAATAGCTTCTTAATGTGTACTTTATACTTGTAAATAAATAATAAAAATTTTTAGAACCGCTTCATTGATATTTTGATTGATATTGACATGCGATAATGATATTCGGACTTCATTCTCTTCACTTCACATAGAAATTTCATATATTTAGGAGGATATCTTCGGCACTTTTTTATTATTGCTTAGATGGATAGACTTGCGGCCCATATACATTATAACATAAATGCCACCAC